CGAGCGGCGCCGGCGAAAGTTCTTTCCCTGACATGCAATAGTCGAAATTAACTCTAAAATTAAGGAGAAACAGAGTAATTAATCACCTATCAAAGGGATAGTTAGGGTTTTCGGATATGTTTTCGAAGAATCGACGATAAGAAATGAATGAAGATGACATTGACAAATTGACAACGGCTGGAAAACGACGTCGTAGAAGCGACGAAGATAGCAAGGCAAAACGGTGACGTTTTATATATAAATTAAACGACACGTAGTAGATTTCTGTAAGACTAAGACGACGTGAAGTTTATTTTAAATGCATTCGTTTTACCTCAGGCGAGTTTTCACTCAATTAGTCTCCAATTTCAGAGGGAGAAATGGCCGGAAGAGCTTCGTCCGCCGCAGTTTGGAGCGTCGCCGTTGCCGCCGCCACTTATTTTATCTAATCCAGGTATTGTGCATACTTAGATCCCACTGGGTTTTGTTCGACTCCTGACCATTCTCTCATTTGTCGGGAATCCGTTTTGGGGATTGTCGATAGATTCGCATTCGCCCGCAAAAAATTCCCAAATCGTATGTCTGATGAACTATACGAGAGAAATCGTATCTAATGATGGATGCGAATTACTAAGAAGTCGAATTCTTGTATGTAGAGGTTTAGCCTGCCCTATATCGAGGTTGCCCATTTTTCTGATTCACATTCTGGAAAATGTTTTTCCTTTCACACCTGTGAAAATTCCTCCTTTTCTTTAGGTGAAAACGGGGAGCTATATAGATTTCATCCTAAAAGTGGGACTATAGATGAAATGAACCTGCAAAACCATTTAGCCAATAGGTTTGTCCTTAGAGACAACATGGTATGCAATGGATTCGACATATCATAAGAACAGGAGGAGGTTAGTCTGGTCCGTTTGTTTCCTCTTCGCTCTGTAGCACTGCCATTTTTTGGTTGTTGTCTGTTCAAATGCATGATATTGACTCTGTACGTCTGCTCTGTGTAGTTAGCTTCTGCAAATTTAGCATTTCTACGTTATTTTTATATTATAGAAATGGTGGTACCTTGTGAATCGTTGTCTTGATCTTACCCGCTACCGGCAACGTTGTTGTTTGCAGAGTTTCAGGATTTCTGGATCTTAGATTCTGGTTTCACGAGTAAAGTTTTGATCTTTCTTGCGTTTGGTTTTTATTTCTTGCAGCCATTTGATTGTTTGAAGAAGATCGAGGAGAAACCAGATTCCAAAAGCTAAGCAAGAATCCTTCAAACTGTAAGTAAAACATCCATGATTACATGCAATAATAATACTTCATGTTACAAGAAGGGTTTCTGAATTGTCCACATTGACATTGCAAAATACAGGTAGATGAAGGTAACCGCCGTATCTCTTATTCTTAGAGAGGAAAGCATGATCTATACAAGTGTCTCGTCCTTTGTGATTCTTTCCCTGTCTTGTGCGGATTTCAGAGCTTGGAAGATTCTAGAACTCTTGTCGAAGATCTTGGCTCTTCTGTTGTAATCATTAGGGTATTTCCCTTCATCATCCCCCATGATAGCTTCAGTCTCAAGGCACTCCAAAAGCTCTGGTACGTCGTTTTTCTCCACGCACTTGTCTCGTCTCTTCATCAACTCCTCCACTTCCTCCGGGGTGATTATGATCTCCTCCATTGCAGCCGCCGAGGCAGAGCTCGAAGCCACACACCTAGCTCCCGACCACCTTTCCTTAAGGGTCGACAAGGTCGAGTCTTTACCGAGCTTGAGGACGAGTTGGGCCTGTTTGGATACAGGAATCTTGCTAACCGGAACCTGGTTTTGATGAGGTATTGGGTTGATGGAGGTTAAAGGCATAGCTTCCATTTTTCGATCGATTTGGAGATGAACCAGAGAGCTGGGTTTATATTAAGATTTTGAGAATGTGAGCTGTGAGTTTTTTAAGTAGAGAGAGTTCCAGATTCTCCTTGTACTTATAGAGGAATTGGCGAGTCAAAGATTCGCTGATCAAGTTTGACTTTTCTTTTGCTTTTGACACGTGTGCAGACAATGTGTCTAACTCGGACACTCTCTCCATTCGGATAAACCAATAGGAGATTTGGATGAATAGATTGAGTCAGGGGCACGGGTCGGATACCTCCATTTTTTATAAAAATTCTATCTCGGTTTCATCAGTACGGATTTTATAAAAATATTATCTCAGTCTTGGTTTTATGAGATCCGGATATCTGTAACTCGAATTCAATGAGATTCTCGGTCTCGTTCTCGCGAGTACCCGACCCATAGACATACAATTCAAAACATTTATAACTTATAAAATTTTTGAACCATTAGAACGATAAAGAGTACTACAAATAAGAAAATCTCAAAAATCCCATATCTTAAGTTTAACAAAAAAAAATCCAAACTCAGATCAGGTTTGGAGAAAACAAAATAAAACATTAAATTCATATCATCACCATCAGATTTTTCAATCGTCTTAGCTTCAACCACAACTCCATAGCTAGCATCGATCTCATTTTCTTTACAACAATTAAAAAAATAAAGAACAATATAAAAATAAAGAAACAACACGTTAAACATATAAGAAGCAAGTAACTGAAAATAAAAAACAAACCTCATTCGGAGGATGAATATCCTTTATCTTTATCCTTGTCTGTATATATAGATGGAAAATCTATACAAATAAATAATTAATCAGACATATACAATAATATAAAAATCATTTAATTTACTAAAAGGTAAGGAAGATACCTTCTTCAAACTTCTCAAGGTCCTCCAATGTTGCTTCTATTGTGATTGGTGGTGATACATAGTCTTTTCGAAGCCAATCTTGTGTACAAATGAGAGCTTCAATAAGTTGCGGGGATAAAGAACTACGATACGGATCTACAACTCGACCACCAGTGCTAAAAGCTGATTCAGATGCAACGGTAGATACTGGTATAGCCAAAATATCTCTTGCCATATCCGAAAGAATGAGATATTTGCCGCCGACTACTCTCCACCAATAAAGAATATCAAATGCGGTATCATCTCCCATTTCAGGTACATCCTCTAAATACGATTCTAACTCATTCTTCTTTACTTGATATTCGGTGCTTATAAAACTCTTAAACTTCAGAAGTCTATGAGCATTGGAACCCACTGCCTCGCTAGTATTCTTGTTGCTTAAGGTTGAACACGAATCCACACGACTACTAGCAGAAGATTGTGCATCCGTAGATCGAAGACACTCGTAATATCTAAACAATCTTTCCAAAACACTCTTAACTTTCACAATCAACTCGTTGGCCTTGGCAGCATCATCATAAGTCTCCTTAATCATCCAAATTACATATGACAACTTATATCGAGGATCAAGCACAGTTGCGATAAAGATGATCATATTGATTTTGTCTGAGTGCCAATACTTTTCAATTTTTTTCTTCATCCTCTCAGCCATAGACTTTACATATGGATCATCACTCTCAACAAATTGTTGAATCCTCCATCCTGCACAAAAAACCTCTTGCATGTATTCATTTCCAATGACGTACCGAGTGGCTGAAACTTTTAGTGTGGAGTCATAAAACAATTTAAGAATTGGCAATAAAGATTCTGCATAAATCCAATCATCGACATTCGGTGGACCTAGCCCATTTTTCTTAAGCTCCTCAACATACTTTGAATCCAAAGACTCAAGCATAACAAATCCCTGCTTAAGTCTTACAGTCGATTCCAACATAAAAAACGTAGAGTTCCATCTTGTTTCTACGTCTAAACAAAGACCAGCTTTAGTAGAGACCTTTTTAAGTGCCAAACCTACTTTGAACTTCCTCGTTCTACTTGTTGAAGACCTCACATAACGAACAGCCAATCGAATTCGGGAAATAGATTCATGCAACTCATTCAATCCGTCTTTTACAATCAATCCCAAAATATGAGCTCCACACCTCATATGCAAAAACTCTCCATCAAGGATACTTGATCCCATCGTACTAAACTTTTTTCGCAAGTACTTGATTCCCACATCATTTGAATTTGCATTATTCACAGTCACAGTGAAAATTTTCTCGATTTCCCACTGAACCAAGCATTTATGGATCATCTTTCCAATCATTTTCACCCTTATGATTAGCAATTGGACAAAAATTGATGATCTTTTTCTGCAACTTCCAATCTTTATCAACATAATGTGCAGTCAAACACATATAATTGATATTCTGAACGGATGTCCAAGTATCCGTTGTTAAACAAACACTCCCTCTGTGTTGTTTAAAAAAACTGTGCAACTTCAACTTCTCTTCCAAAAACAAATTCATGCAATCTTTAGTAATTGTTCTCCGAGATGGTATAATAAAACAGGGTTGCACAATCCTCATAAAATATTTGAATCCCTCCTTTTTAACAAACCTAAAAGTCAGCTCATCCATAATGATCATCATCACTAAAGCTTTTCTAGCTTCTTCCTTATCAAACATTGCAAAAGATGGAACCCCTCTTGAAACCTCAGTTTTCGCTTGATGGAATAATGTGGTTTGCTTCAGCTTCTTATTGTTCTGGTCATCAACATTATCTTCACGAGGTAACTTCTTACAAATCCTTAAATGTTTCAACATTGAACTTGTAGATATAGTCCCCTGGCAAACACAACTAATTGATGTCCCACAATGGCTGCAAATTGCCATTTTTATTATCCGATGTTCTTTTAAAATGATTCCAAGCGTCAGATTTTACACGAGATACCTTGGGATCGGTAGAAGGCTGGACATCACCCTCTTTCGGGATTTCCTCAGACTGCAATTGAGACGGAACATCAGGAGTAGCTGTAATCGGAACGGAGGTTTCACAATTCTCATCCAAGTGATAAACGAAAAATGACATAAACAGAAATACAAATAAAAAATTTAATCATACAAAAATACAAACAGAAAAAAACGACATAAATAGAGAATAGACCAGTTATAAACGAAAAACGACATAAACAGAGGGAACTTCTGAAATTTACAGTTGAACTCATAAAAAAAATTTCTGAACAAATAAAAATATGGTAAAGAAAGAACAAAAGCATATATAAGTTTCTTTTCTTTCACTTACCTTGTAGAGTAGAAGCGTTAGAGAAGAAAAACAAGTGTGAAGAGGAAGAAGAAGAGACCAAGGTTCTTCGCTGGAAAAAAAATTACGATGGAGACTTGAAGAGGTGAATGAGAGAGAAAATAAAGTGGTTGCAGAAGAAAAAATGGTAAAAAATAGGGTTCGGTGGGACCTTTTAGATAAAAGGGTTGAAAATAAAAGGAATAAGTTAAATAAAATAAAATTATTTTAGTAATATTAATAATACTTTAATAAATAGTATAAATATAAAGGGTATTTTAGATTTTTAGTAAATATATCTGGGTATCCGGGGGTAACCCGTTATGAAATAATAAAACCCGAACCCGAACCCGGGGGTTGAAATCTTAGAATCGTTGTACCGGATCTCATCATCGTTAATATCCGGATAACCCTTTTTCGGGTACTTGTTAAGCCGGGTACCCCCAAACCCTCGGGTCACGGGTTAAAACGCCCACCCCTAGATTGAGCCTTCCTATTTTTACTTCATAGCCTGACCTTCCTTCTTTTAAAAAAAAACCAACATCATCTTATAACTTTATAATTGTATCCTTCCAAAAATACTCTTCATTTTTTATTTAATATTTTAATTTTAAAAAATATTTCAACTCTCTCTCTCGTCTTCCATCTCTCTCTCTCTCCATTCGCATATGTGAAACAAACTACAGACTCTCTTCTTCCCCATTCTCTGATCTTCCAACTCTCTTCACTTCCAATCTATTTTTCAGCTAATTTATTATGAAAAACAATATTAAGTTTGGACATTTCATCGATTAAATACAAATCTGAATAATAGGTAAATATTGTTTCTAAAATACGTTATTAAATTTGTTGTGAAAAAACAATATTAAGTTTGAGCATTTCATCAACAATACAATGATTCACGTTATTCTAACTGATTGAAATCGTTAAATATGTGAAATTCATCAAAATGGGAGAATTTGGAAAACTGGTCATACATATGTGTCAGAATGGTCAAATTGGTCGTACTTCTAACTGGTCATACTTGTCAAATTGGTCAAAATGATTATTCTCACAAAATTGGTAACGCTGGTCATAATCATCAAAGTGGTCAAACTGATCATACTCATTAAATTTATTATATGATATGATTATTACTATGTTAATATTTTTAAAACGATGAATTATGCAATTTTAAACAAGTCTGACCGTTTGACCAAGATTTGACCATATGACCATTTGATCGTCTGACCATTTGGGTACGAAAAAATGCCTAAATTAAATTTAAACGATTCAAAAAGGTGTATAGGGGTTATAAGAATATTATTACATCATTTTGGAGTTCTAATTTTACGTGAAAAAAATCTCCTAAGACCAGTCAATTGTATCCAATGTGTTATACAAACACTACTAGTACTTTAGGTCTTCTTTGGAAGGAGTTACATTGTCAAACAAAAAATGTGCTCAATCCATATTACTACGACTGATTTGAACCTGAAAAATTTGTGATATGATATGATTATTACTATGTTAATATTTTTAAAATGATGAATTATGCAATTTCGAACAAATGTGACCGTCTGACCAAGGTATGACCGTCTGATCGTATGACCGTCTGACCATTTGGATACGAAAAAGAAATGTCTAAATTAAATTTAAACGATTTGAAAAGTTGTATAGGGGTCATAAAAATACTACTGCATCGTTTTGGAGTTCTAATTTCATGTGTAAAAAAAAATCTTCCAACATAAGTCAATTATATCTAATGTATTATACAAACACTACTAGTACTTTAGGTCTTCTTTGGAATGAGTTACATTGTCAAACAAAAAATGTGGTCAATCTATATTACTACGACTGATTTGAACTTGAAAAATTTATGATATAATATGATTATTACTATGTTAATACTTTTAAAATGATGAATTATGCAATTTCGAACAAGTCTGACCGTATGACCAAGGTATGACTGTCTGACCGTATGACCGTCTGGCCATTTGGGTACGAAAAAGAAAGGTCTAAATTAAATTTAAACGATTTGAAAAGTTGTATAGGGGTTATAAAAATACTACTGCATCGTTTTGGAGTTCTAATTTCATGTGTAAAAAAATATCTTCCAACATAAGTCAATTGTATCCAATGTATTATACAAACACTACTAGTACTTTAGGTCTTCTTTGGAAGGAGTTCCATTATCAAACAAAAAATGTAGTCAATCCATATTGTTACGACCGAGTTTGAACTTAAACAATATGTGATATGATATGATTATTACTATGTTAACACTTTTAAAACGATGAATTATGCAATTTCGAACAAGTCTGACCGTCTGACTATGGTATGATCGTCTGACCGTATGACTGTCTGACCATTTGGGTACGAAAAAAAAAGGTTTAAATTAAATTTAAACGATTTGAAAAGTTGTACAGGGGTTATAAAAATAATTAATATTGCATCATTTTGGAGTTCTAATTTCATGTGTAAAAAAAATCTTCCAACATAAGTCAATTGTATCTAATGTATTATACAAACACTATTAGTACTTTAGGACTTATTTGGAAGGAGTTACATTATTGATGACATTGTTGTTCTTGAAACCATGAGCAAAATCAGATCGGTTTGACCGGTGTGATATTTCGATAGCCAAAATTTCTCTCAGGATTTTCATCAAACACTTTCCATACATTCTCAAATTCTTCAACTTTGGTGTGTCGGATCTCGTTATAGAGGAAAAATTTGACGAGTGTAAGCTTAAATGATGTTGTTCCTTCGAAACGAATCGAAGTGAAACCCTAATAAGCTAAAATTCTATATAAGAAGAACATGTTTGATCAACATTTTTAAATTCGTAAATTCATCATTTTTGAAAAAGTATGACTAGTCTGACCAGTATACCCTATGACCAGACTGATGATATGATCGGTATGACCAAAGATTGACCGTATGACCAAAGTCTGATTATCTCACTAAAGTATCATCGGTTTGACCAAAGTATGACCGTCTGACCGATTTATTATATGAGATTATTATTATACCATATTAACACTTTTTTAAAATGATAAATTCATCAATTTTCAATAAGTTTGACTGTCTGACCAAATTCTGATTGTATAACCAATGTATGACCGTCTTATCAAAGTGTGATCGGTATGACTATTTTTTACACGAAAAATAAAGGTCTAAATTAACTTTAAACGATTCAAAAAGTTGTACCAGGGTTATAAGAATATATTTTTTATCGTTTTAATGATCTAATTCCATGTATAAAAAAATCTCTTAACATAAGTTATCTTCACCCAAAGTGTGACCGGCTAACCAAATTGTGACATCTGACCAAAATCTGATCGGTATGACCAAAATTCTGACCGATATGACTTGTATGACGTGTTAAGAGCCAAATTTTCTCTGAGGATTTTTATCGAACACTTTCAATGTATTCTCAAATTCTTCAATTTTGGAACGTCAGATCTTGTCATAGTAGAGAAATATATCGAGTGTAAGACAAAAATTAAGAAATTTGTTGTTAGAATCGCCAATAAATATCTTGGGAGAGAAAAAGAAAAAAAAAATTGCGATTTGAATTTTTAGAAAAAGTGAGAAGAAATTTTCGAAGTTTTTTTCACTATATAGAAGGTTACGACGTATTCAATTTTTAAAGAATAAACTAGTCTTTTCGTTGTTTTAGTTTTTTTTTAAAAATCCTAAACATAGAAGATCATCCCTTGAAATAAGAAACGACATTTGGAGTTATTTCTGCAATTTTTTCATTTTGATTTGTGTTTTTTTTTAATTTCGAGAAGATTATGTTTATTTAATTTTTTTAAATAGATTAGTTGGTCAATTATCAAATATTATGAATTATCAAATATTATTATTTGGTCAATTGAGGCTTCTGAAGTGCTCGTTGGACAATTTCTGATAATTTTTTAGAACCTAACGATTCAAATAAACCAAAATAAATTGTATCCAATTATATTTAAATTAAATATATTTATTGAATATGATTTTTTTTTTAAATTCAACATTCCAATTTCCAACAAGAAAATTCACGATTCACGAATATGGTGTGGGGAGGGGAGGAGGAGGAGAGGAAACAACGTCCTCCACGGCTCCACGTGGCGTGTTTTCCTTCACTTTCTTTCTGAAGCGTCTCATTGTCTTTCACTCAAAAGATATTTCTAACTCAAAACGGCATCGTTTCAACTTTCAAGGGTCAGGAGCTGATTTCAGTTGCCGTCTCTGCTTCAATCCCCGCACGGCGATGGCGGTCTCAGCTTTCCGCGGCATGCGCTTGCCGTCCTTCCACCGTTCTCAGGTCTCATTTCGTGATTTTCCTCCTCAGAATCTCCTTCTCCGCTTTTTGAGGGGTTTCCGTGCCCTAATTGATGGCCGCCGTTTCCCTCCGCTAACTCCGATGACTGTTCGTTGCAGACTCCCGTCGTCGGGGTTGGACCAGGAAGATCTAATAGGCTGATCGGACGCAGAGATTCGAAGGGTTTTGTTCTTTTGGCGCAGTATTCTCAAGCTCAGGATCTTTTCACTTCTCGTCTCCAAAGTACGGAGATTTCATGTTCTTACGAATTGTTGAGACTGTGACGATTGCTTACGGATTGTTTGAATTCCCGTTTCAAGACTGTTTCATTAGTGGTTTTCCTGTAGATTTTTGTTGCTTTTGGGTGAAGTACTTATAGTGAATTGGATTTAGGGCAGGAAGCTTTGGTCGAAACCTATTGAATTTTCTATGGTCAATTAGAAAGTGATTCTTGGTGACGGCAGTGTGAATCATGTCCTTATTCAATGGATCCGAGCATCTAAACTGTTGGATTTCGAAATTTGATACAGGCCGGATAGAGAATTTACCCAAACTGGTGGAGGATATAGTTCAGACATCGATAAACACAGGTCCACGTGGAGCCTTACGTATTGTCCAAGGCATTCAGGCTGTCGTGGGGGTTGGAGGGGAGTGGCTGACTGATGTATCTAAGGTGAATGTTGGTTGTAGTTGCAGTTTCCATCTTTGATTCTAGGACCGACAAGGATTGCTTGTATTTTCTGTTTCCTTGCCAGTAGAGGAGCAAGATGTAAGAAACTACACAATCGGTGATCTCAGTTTCGATTCGTTTAGCCTCTAGATGTTATGGGTTTTTTCTTGTGATTACCTTTTGGGTCGTAGATTCCATCTAATCAAGTGGTCTTCAAAAGGTTTGGAATTCTTGCAACAATGTCTAACAAGGCAAGTCTATGCCTGATTGTTAAGTTTTAGGTCTCTCTTTCTCATCGTAGGAGTTAAAATAGTTTTGACACTTACTCTTCAGCTAGATTGTGCTTTCTTTCTCTTTGTGGTTTTATATGTCAATCTTCCATTGTGTCCTTTTGTGCTCTGATTGCAACCTCTAACCTTTTCTCTCATCGCAGTCAACAAATGAATCTGGTGGATTACCCACTCAATTGCAGCTTGGGTTACTCTCTCCTCGATATTTGAGAAAACTCTTTGAACGCATGGGAGCTACCTACATTAAACTGGGTCAGGTAAAATCTAGAGAATGGTATCCTCAACCCAAGCTAAGTCGATGGATTGATCTTCCTATGCAGAGGACGTTTTTACCCAATTATCATGAATTTCTTTTAAATTTCATAGTTTATAGCATCTGCACCGACACTGTTCCCATCGGAATACGTCGAAGAATTTCAAAAGTGCTTTGACAGTGCTCCCCCAGTGCCGTTTGAAGAGATCCGGAAAATCTTGCAAGAGGAACTCGGGAGACCCATAGAAACCGTGTACGAGTACGTGGACCCTACGCCAGTTGCATCTGCCTCTATAGCGCAAGTGTGTTCTGGTTTCCCCTTCGATTAGTTGCTTGGTTTTGTTCATGTACTGTTCTTCTGCTTATAAAGAAATCATCCCGACCAGGTCCATGGGGCGAGACTTAGAGGCTCCCAAGAGGATGTAGTCATCAAGGTCTTGAAGCCTGGAATAGAGGATATCCTAGTGGCGGATCTGAACTTTGTTTATGTCGTTGCCCGCATATTGGAGTTCCTTAATCCCGAGCTCAATCGCACTTCAATGGTGAGCTCTGGAAATGGTTGTAGAGAGTTATTGAACCATTTGTCCTTCAATTATAGTTAACTTGTATAAAACAATCGTCATGTTTATAGGTCGGTATCGTCAAGGACATTCGTGAGTCAATGCTTGAAGAAGTTGACTTTTATAAGGAAGCTCAAAATATCGAGTCGTTTAGGAGATATCTTGAATCAATGGAGTTGTCCGGGCAAGCTACTGCTCCGAGAGTATATAAGCACTGCAGCACCAAACGGGTTCTTACCATGGAGAGGTTGTACGGAGTTCCTCTTACTGACCTGGATTCTATAAGTTCACTTGTTTCCAGTCCAGAGAACAGCCTTATTACTGCCCTTAATGTCTGGTAAGGAAGATTACTGTATTTCAATAGGAAAAAGGTGGATTCACCCTTTCTAGAACTAAAAGTAAAGAGAAATGTTGATTTCTTTGTGAATATTATCTCCAGGTTTGGCAGTCTGCTTGCTTGTGACAGCTTCCATGCCGATGTTCATGCCGGGAATTTATGGCTTTTGCGTGATGGGCGAATTGGGTTTCTTGATTTTGGTAAATAATGTCCTCTCCAGCCTAGTCAGTGCTGCAACTGTTAGATGTGGATTAGTTCTCATAGTATTCCTGCTTTGGGTTTTCATGAATGAATTTGTGCTGTCTTCTAATCTCGGCTATCGATATTCATGAGTATATTTTGCTGTATTTTAAGCATCTAAATCCGTGTTTTCTTCTCAGGCATCGTTGGTCGGATATCCCCCAAAACTTGGGCTGCCATGGAAATATTTCTGACGTCAATTGCGACTGAAGAGTATGAAGCCATGGCATCAGCTCTGATCGAAATGGGTGCCACAAACAAAGATGTCGATGCCAAAGCTTTTGCAAGAGACTTGGAAAAGATATTCTCATCCATCCAGGCAAGTAATTTTGCATTTATCGTTATGGCAACTCATGTGATTAAGGTTAAATCTCATGAAAACAGTTGATTTCCATCTTGTTTTATGGGTTTTTTCGTTTATGTCTTCTCCTCAACCGAAAGGTTTATCGTTTTTTCAGGAACTAGATACAGAGATAATAGTTGCTACAGGTCGTGGGACGAATTCAGACACAACAGCTGTTGCTGCTAACGTTATCGTGGACGAGAGACAGATGAATGCTCTTTTCCTCGACGTGGTAAGCTGAATTCACTACTTGAAAAGCTCAATGGAGAATCTCTCAAACTCAAAGTATATAATGCCTCAGAATATCAAACCCATATCGACGGTGAAACAGATGTTACCTAACTGTGAAACTATACTTAAAGAAAACCTTGTCTGAAAACGGTGAAATCATTGTCTTGTCTTAGAATTTGTTTTGGTATCCGAAATAAGGTCTCGTGTATAAATGGCAGGTGCGTGTGAGCGAATCGTACGGGCTGAAATTCCCGAGGGAGTTTGCACTGCTGATGAAGCAGCTTCTGTATTTTGATCGGTACACGAGACTGTTGGCACCGAACATGAACATGCTGCAGGACCAGAGGATCTCCATTGTCTCCAACCGAAGGATGGATCGGTATACGGACAGCAGCTTCAACTGAGTTCATACAGATACCCTCACTGAATATATTTTCTTTTCTTTTTTTTTCCAAGAACTAATAATACATCACACCATACAGTATATAAATGGTGTAAAAAGTATTTTGACTATCCTATGAAGCGTTCACTATCTGTAACTGTAAGCCCTTTTGTGTATAAATACGTTTTACTACATTGCCCAAAATATGTTGTCGTTCCGTTGAGTACTTTAACATGAACAGCAGAACGGATCTGTCTTACAACCACAGAGATCAAATTTCAATGTCTAATACTCGAAATTTGGATTCGATTTCGGATTAACATTTTCGGGTCAAATAAGTATTTATTGAATCATAAAAAATAACCCTTACAACTTTGAATTATTAGTAAATTAAAAAGAAGATGCCTAACTGTTTTTGTATTTGTTTATTTGAAAGAATATCGTGGTGAAAACAAAAAATGTTCACCAAGAAAATAAAATCAGAAATAAAAAAGATTAATGATGCTTAATTCTTTGACCAAGAAAATAACCCACACAAGCGTTTAGAGATTTCCCTCTTCTTCAATTCTTTGATCAAAATGATGATGCCACTAGAATAGTTTTCTTGTATACACAATAGGGGTGTCAATAGGGCCGGTCCGACCCGAACCCGTACTCGGCCCGAAAGTTTTGGGTTCAGGCTCGGGTCAACCCGATTTTTTCGGGTCTATATAGTTAAACCCGAAATCCGGCCCTATGTATTCCGGATTTGGGTCAGGCCACCCGCATAATCTCTTTGTAAATGTTATTTTTTTCTTTTTTTCTTTTTTAAATGTCGGACTTTCGGACCGGTCCGATTCGAGCCCGAAGTCCGATTTGAGACCTGTCCAAATGCCCGATTTTTTTCGGACCAAGAAACTTAGGCCCGAAGCCCGCTAATTTTTGGACTGGACTAGACCGAGTTTCGGGTTTTGGACCTAAATTGACACCCCTGATATACATCAAGAAACTAATGTCATGAGTGTTTTTTCCCCAATATACAATTACCATATTATCCATGTTGTTGTGTATTGATTCATACACAACAACAAAACCTTTCGAGTCGGGTACCCATCTCGTACTCCGCTCTCGTCCTCACCGCCACCCGCAGAACTCAATATAAACGAAGTATCGAGTCTCTTCTCTCCTCCATGTACATTTTCTAAAGCGGAGCGACTATTAACACATTGGGGAATGCCCAAAACTCGTCATGTATAAGGTATTCGGGTTTAGAGTCGGATACCCGAGCCGTATCCGACAAAGAACAAAACACATCAGATCTTCAACATAGAAACATGGGTAGCACCAGAACACCCAAAAAAAAAGCATTCGGTCATTTGGGGCAAGAAGCAAACTCAGTTAACTAACTGTAATCGACGAGACAAACCATTTATTCAAGCAAATACTGGACCAAAGTTGTCGAGAACCAACTCGGAACTTCCCACTATAGGTGAAAATATAATTAGGCACTTGTATTGAACGAATAGATGCAAATCCATGGTTCAGAACCTGTGCTCCAATTTCTCCTTTTCCTTGTAGTGTTGAGCATACCTGCCATTTCGTTTCAGAAAGATACATTAACATAAACGTTAACAACAGAGCCGTTGTAAGCAACGGAGATCATGAAAATTGTGGCTTTCCTCGATGAAGACTGCCAATATAGATGGACCCGGACCGTAAAATTCTTGTGAGGGAACACAATGGATGTCTACAGAAAATGCTCTGCATAAGGCATCAACAAATAACTATGTTCTTTAACTGTCCACAGTTTCATGATCGAGAAGAACTTGACTCGCACCGATCTCCTTTAACCTCTTAAACAAGAATTATTTCAAGATGCAAGTTCGTTGAGTGTGTGATTCACAGCCCAGATCATTTGTTTCTCGAAAAAGCTTATGATTCCCAATGCCAATTCAATATCCATCAGACCACTCATATCATTCCTATATCCACCCTGGTTCAGCTTCTGCCTGCAATTCAGCTAACCCATTCACTGTTCTCGAGCTAATCACTGCTACTAGTATCTCACATCTTCAATTCCTATACTGTTTGTTCAATTTCTTGGGGAACGTAAACAGCCTACAGAGGACACGGTGACCAATTAATTACCATGAACAAAAATCGAAGAAGACCTGGGAACATACAACAACATCCTAACAGACATGGTTGTCCTCGATCGAGATCTCAATTACGAATATATTCCAGAAACTGTAGTTTCGGTAAAACCAGTTCGAAGAACAATTGCAATAATCGGATCGGAGATTTCCGAATCGATTCGCCCGATCGATGAAGAGAGAGAGAGAGAAAGAGAGAGAGAGAGAGAGAGAGAGAGAGAGAGAGAGAGAGAGAGTACCAGTAGGTGCCGAGGACGGGGGTGAGGAGGAGAGTAGCGCTGATCCAATTCTCGGAGACCTTGTGGTGGATCTTCTCCGGAAGATCCTTCCAGAGACCAGTCATCACCTTCTGCTGAAACGGAGACAGAGCGTACACCACCGCCTTCATCTTCACCGGCTGCTTCCCCATCTTCTTCTTCTTCTTCTTCTTCTTCCGTCAATCCAGGCAACTCACGCAACAGACGATGACGATGACGAAGGTTCCCGTCAAACCTATGGTTCAGTTTTTGAAGCGATTAAAACGCTGCCGTTTCATGGATTCAAACGACGTCGTTTGATATAGAGACCGATTGGTTTGCACTAAACCCACAACCAAACAATCCGTTTCTCCTTGGTTACGGATACGGTTAAGACCGGTGTTATGAACCGAAATGAATACTTCTTCGTGTAATAACGGGCCTTAATGTTTTCGAGCTTTGAGTATATTCGGCCTCTTTAACAATGGTGATTTTATGGGATAGAACTATTATATTGGGCCTAATATCAAAATACTTCGGGCCTTTATTGTTAGCAGCATACTCATTGTATGGCCCATTAAGGGCCCAACAACTCTTCCGAACTCCGCTGGCCCCATTACTGAATATTCTTTCTTCCTTTTGATTTTGAGGATGGAATGTTCAAATTTTCCCCCAACTCCTTTTGAGAATTGGAAATGATTTTCATTTTCTATTTATCCCTTTAATAATAACTAAGAAGCATGACACAATATCTCATTTTAGAAATTATTTAATAGTTATAAATAACAATATATCTTAGTTAGAGCCATACAATGGCCAGATTCTAAGAAATAATTAAATATTATTTTTCATAATATATTCATTGACTATGCATTAATATCTAATATTTGTTTATAGATATGAATTTTGAATCCCCAATAATTGCTTTAATCTAATGAGTTGACCACATAGAATGTTGTCGTGATTTATTTATTAACCGCTGAGAAATTGTCAAATCCCATCCTTTAGAATCAATGTCAAGATTTTATTTTCTTTATACATTTGTGTGTTAGAAAAAGAAACACCATATAATTACTCTTAATACTTTGAATTCTCCTTTGATTCATCTTTTTAAATTTTATTTTTATATTATTTTTTATTTGATGAATATTTTGTTCAAAATATTATTTTATTAAAAATTATATTGTAGAAATCGTATTTTATAGAAGAAAACTTATATATTTATTTTAGATTCCATCAATTTAATTTTAAAATATTATCAAAATAATTTATCATTAATTTCAATTGGGATATGATTATATATATATATATATATATATATATATATATATATTAGATGCTACTTCTTCCATTTAAAGTTCTTGCATTTTGAACTATTTTTTATTGTTTGTTTTCAACTTTTTTTCCTTGATTAGCTATTAGTCAAATTTATTTTTATACAATTTTTCTAAATCTAATTCCTGCTTCTGCAATATGGTCCACAAATGCAATAGTCAAGCTTCAATCCTCTCTCTCTCTCTCTCTCTCTCTATATATATATATATATATATGTAAATATACACACATTATTTTTTTTCCCCAAACTTTTTCGTCTGTTCATTCCACAAATGAGCAAATCTTCCATTGAACACCAAATAAAAGTCATTAATTGATGATCTGTTTTTTAATCTTCTCCAATAAAAGATAGAAAAAAAAAATGAGATTTTCAATTAAATATCTCAAATTAAATTCAATATCTTGTGGAAATAAAAAAGGAAAAAGAAAGCAACCCACCTAATTCATATTTAGTTTTTGAGTGTATAATATTAAAAACCAAACTTTTCCCCGTAGATTATATATGTCCTTATAGGACCACATGTATTATTATAATCCCCCAAATGAGAAGTAGTTGCAAATATATTAATGATATTACCAAACCCATTAATTAACTTTATATTTATTTTATTTTTCGTTGCGCTTCATTATTTTTTTTAATTACTCATTAAGTGTCACAAAGTGAGACAATAAATATTTGGTAAAATGGATTTTTTTTGTATACAGAATGTGGTTGTTAATTGCCGATGCCCACTAGCGATTATCATCATAAATATGTTGTTTATTCCCCATCACACTTTTAATCAAAAGCAAAATAAAAAAAATAAACATAAACGGGTATTGATTTATGTGTCCTAATCTGAAATTATTCTCTTATTGCATAAACATCAAAAAGTTATATTAAGGTCATATATATATATATATCATAAAAAATTTGGATAAATACAAGCTATATATATCCAAATTAATCATTTGGGTTTTTTTTGGAAATAAGATATAAGAAAAAAGAATGAGATTGAGATAGAGAAATTGTGGAAATCCACGTGGTACATGTGGTGAAAACGGAAGACCGTGTCACCATGTAATTTAGTTCCTATCCACACACGTTTACTCCCACTTTCTCATCCTCTTTTCCATCCACTTCCATTGGACTGAAATCCAAAAGGCAGGCCTATTTTATTTTATCTATAACAATATATTGAAATAAAATAAATAAATATAAACAAACAAATGATGTATTTAATAATATCTACAATTCTTTTCTGCAAATCTTTCCCCAAACAATCACGTGGTTTGTTTGCTCGTCAAGTTAGGTGAAGAAGAGATAGATGGTTATCTCGAAGTCGGGTTTTCTTTACAAATCACCTTTCTCTCTCAAACCGAACCGGATCGGACCGGGACTATACCGGAACTCTAACCAGGAAGGGCAAAATTACAACAAAAAAAAAAACTGCAGAAGTTGCCTATATGCAATGGTGAATTCAGACAGCATAACAATGTGTTTCACAACTTAGCTTGTGTCTGATCTCTTGATAGACAAATCTTTACCTTAATTCCCTCCCGGTGCAGGTTTTCACTGTAATGTGTAGTGAAGAAGGTTATTCTGTAATGTGCTTTCCTTTGATTCTTCCGGGCATGATGATGATGATGATGATGGTAACCCGAGAGAGGATTACATGAAAACTGTGTATCGTATGAATCGTTAACCCGGAAAACGACTATCTTCGCCCGTTAGCCCAATGCCGGTTGTTCAAGCCAGGTCTCTTGAACTGCGGTTTCTGGGCATTGCCTTGTTTCGGGATTGTTTCCAGCACCTGTATCGTCCGCTGCCTCTTGGCTGTTGAATTTAATCAATCTTTGCATCAGTTTTTTGCATGATCCAACAAAAGGGTTTTAAACTTTGAGATGAAAATGAAAAAAAATCGAAGAACAATGAACGAACCGTTCTCGTGTTGCTGGTAGCTCTCCTGAAGTTTCCTCTTTGTGAACTCAAACTTTGCATCTTCGGCCAGACCTTTGAGTTTCTGAGAAAGACAAGAACAGATGACAAAGAACAATGAGTTGCAATGTCAAAACATGAGATCTTGGAACATCATGTTTTTGTTTTCAGATTCACCTCTTCTTCGTGACCCGAGACTTTTGGCCTCTGCTCTGCAACAGAAAGCTGTCTCCTTTGGATCACGGGTTTTTCGGATTTTCTCCTCTCTTCTATACTTTGCTTAAGGGCTCTTCTCGGCTCGTCGGGTTTAATAGATCTAACAGGAGCTTCCTGTCTCCAGCTGTTGTTGTCCTTAGCAACTATTCTTGCTTTATTTGTGACCTCGGATCTCCTCTTCGCGATATTTTGCGGGTTTCTTTCGTTGTCTCGGTTCTTACTGTATTCCCCAGAGTTCCGAGGATCTGAAACAACATCCTCGTATCGTGAGTGCTGTGAAACACAATTGGGGAGATTTCATGTAATAGAACCGAAAACAACAAGACGGAGAGCGGATTCAACTCACTTCCGTCGAAATCCTCCATGCCATCAAAGAACTGCACATGACAAAATCAACACGAGAAAAAGAAGATTTCGTCAGTCTTTTTTCCCTAAGAGGCGAAATGTAAATCTTGAGGACATGTATACAGACCTGTCCGAGTTCTAATCCGACATGTCCAGTGGCAAAGAGAGCTCCCTCGTCCATTGGAGGAGAGGGAAGCCCTTCTTCTTCATCAACTACAGAAGGGTTTGCAGACTCTGGCGTGTCGCCAGCACCTGAACGGAAACCGAAAACCGTCAGCTAAGTCACGAGAAGATTCATAAGAAGCGAATGCCGTGAAAATCTACAAAGACGGAAAGATGATATTACCAGCTATTTCCCTTGTGGTGTTCACCCACTGATCCACCAGCTCCTTCCACTCTCTGAAAACAATCGAAGAAACACAATGTTAAAACGAATCAGATAACGGGGGATTCGATATCGGCAAACACAACTCAAGTGCTCAAGCGAGAACGGAAGGAGATCGGATGTATAGAGAGAAAGATGAAGCTCATACGCGATGAGGGTCTTTGCAAGATGGCGAATCTTATCAGAACCATGTTTTCTCAGGCCATTAACAGCTTTCCCGATTTCAGTAGCCTGCGAGAAGGGAAATCCTTAATCAGTTCATAAGGTTTATTAGCAACAAAGTTCAATCTCAACGATGATCGTTAGAGACAAACCTTCAGAACATCTACACTCAATGACATTAACTGGAGCTTCCTCAACGAATCGAAAAGTGTAGATTTTGGCTGCGAAATGCGGAAAGAAACCGAAACCCGGAAATCAGAAAGATGCTATGAACATGAAGAACAAGTATTCAATCATCCAAACTCGATCAAACAGCAGAAATTTGAATGCAATTTGAGCAAACAAACAACCTGTTCTTCACTGTTGAGCAGGATATCTTTGATCCTTGTGACCTCCCCAAGAATCACAGTCGTCTCTTCAATCTCATCACTCAAGGCCTCAGCTTCGCCATAGCTGTAATTGCTTACAATCTGATTGATGTTCAAATTCGTTGTCTCGTCGATATGGTTATCGCCTCTGCTACTATTAGCCTTGCTCTCTTTACTACCACCAGCTTCAAACCCATTATACCCATCATCATCATCATTATCGTTGCCAACGCCATCATCATCATCATCGTCCCTGTCGGCGTTTACGGCGATTTTCCGTCCACGGTTGGCTTCGTCGTCGCCAGGAACGGACAGCTCGAGATGGTCGCATCCGGTGCATCTGCTCACTCTGCAAGAGAACAGAAGCTCGGCGATTCTGTCTCTCCGAGACTTGAACTCTTTCGGACAATCTGTGGCTGCAACCATGACTGCGTGATCGATGATCTCGAAGATATCGGAATCTGCTCGTCGAAAATAGTCTCTCCAGCTATCCAACGAACCCGATGGTTTCATTTTCGTCATCGTCGATTGGGAAAAAAATCGATTTCAGATCCGGTTTTTGGATCCAGAAATCGGATTCTACTCGATTTCTTCCCCTGGAAACTGAAGCTGCTTAGGAAGGATAAATGGAATCCCGGCTGAATTTTTTCCGCACAGCGGAAAATCTCTAGACGCTGAAAACCACTTTTCTCTCACTTTCCCAGAGATTTTTCCCGGAAAACAACGAGTTCCCAAGTTTTGTTATGAATCGGGTGAGAGACAAGGAAGGGGATTAATTAGAAATGGACACAAAAATCACAAACTACCCAGGAATTTCAATGCCTCACCAAGGATCCAACAGAAAAATCTAGGCTTTGAGAGTATAATCAGGGAAAATTTATGCTATTCCCTTATGGATGATCAAACAGAAAACGGACAAGACTTGTGAGCAAAAGAATCGATACGGATGATCACAAAAATCCATTGGTGGTTCTGCGGATTTTCTTTTTTGCCCTTTAATTTTCTCTCTCTCTCTCTCTCTCTGAGAATCTGACAAAACTTTCTCGGAAAGTCGAACAGAATTTTCCCGAGAAAAAAAATAAAAACTTTGAACCAATCAAGAGGACACGAAGAAAAACAACCCCAAGACAAAGAAACCCAGCATGAAACAAGTTTACGTTACTTTGTCACACAAACCCCAGATGCGACGACGTTAAACCAGGTAAATTCAATTCAACAAGAAATCTCCACTGTTTCTTTCTCTCTCCTGAAGAGAGAGAAAATAAAGATTGTTTTTTTTTCCTGCTTGGTAAAAAAAAGTTTTTTTTTTTAAAAAAAAATGGATATTCTTTACGGCTTTCTGATTCCTGATCGGTCCAAAATGGTTATTCGCTGTGAGCATATAAAAAAAAAAAGAAAAACGAGTAGCAGAATAGTAATAAACTGTCATATTTATTTCATTTTCCAAAAATTTTAGACACATGCTTTGTACATAGACGCGGACGAAATAGTGACAAAAATAAGTACAATGACAACAACAAAAATTGTGGATAGATGATGCCTTTTGGATCCAATGTGAACAAACTAAAAAACTTATCTATTTATTGAATCAACAAGATTATATTTGGATATTTTCATTAACAATATTCACCATTTACTTGAAAACTCATTATCTTTTTGGCATTTTTTGAAAAATAATCAAAATTATTTTTGTTATTTTTATCTTGGTAGATAGTGTTGAGTTATTTTAGGTCCCAATCACTTATGTAAGAGACATGATTTTTAAAAAAAATCAACCTTTATTTTCTTAAAAATATTGGTCTAATAACTAACTTTTAATTCATAAATTGTGATAATAAGTTTTGAAATGGATCGCAAAATTGATAGAGATTAAATATTATTGTTATATTTAAATATCATTTTTAAATAGAAAGTGTAGATGTTGATTATTAATTTTGATTAAAAAAATCCTATAATGATAATATTTTGAGCATGGAGTAAGTTCGAGATGCTTGTTACGTTTTGAGTTTATAGTTATACAACAAACATAATCGGATATATTTTTTTAGAATATATTGCAATAAATGACACCCTATCTCATTTTTAATCAAGAATATAAAAGATATGAAGCAAATATTCAATTAGTGTGAAAATCACGCCTCAATTAATAATATCGTTCAATTTTCTTCGTGAGAAACAAAGAAAAAACTAACTTATGCCTAAATACTAAAAATGAAAAAAAAAAAGTTTCAGATTTCCGTTATATTTGGTTTGAATTTTTATTTTTTAAAACTATATTTATATAATAGTCACATCAATTTTTATTTTCATCCATGTTTCATTCAAATATGATATAAATTCGGGTTTATTACAAAAAATATTTCTGTTTTAATTAATTTTATGTGGTTATTGTTTGTATGGTAATTAATTAATTTAGCTTACAAATTATATTCAATCGTATTAAAGTTATATAATATATTATATGTTTTGTATTTACATATTGTAATGTGAATAATATCCACTTTTAAAAAAATAAACATGGACCCTTTAAGCTTGACCAAGATTCAAGCACCCCACCGCATGCGCAGTGGACCACGACCCATTCCGTCCATCCCTCCACTTAAGAAAAAAAAAGGAGAAGAATCAATGTATTGACTATTATTCTCTATCTTGTTTTTTATTTTTTATCTGAAATTCTGGAAATAATGAACAGTTTTCAATGTCTAATTTCAAAATCGAATTAGATAATTTTTTCGGAATTTTATTTTTTAAAAAAAGGTTAGTAATACGATATATTTGGCCAAACGCTGTCGTTTAGGGTATTGGGCAATGGGCGGTGATTTTGAGACCAATCAGAAATAGAAGCACCGCGGCAACACAGTGGGTCAGGACTCAGAAACTCGGCGACTCGTTCAAGAGATACAATGACAGCACCGTCACATTGGGATTAGTGATATTCGCTAATTAGCTGCCACGTCATCTTTTAAAGGGACGGTTCCGCTGGATTCTGGTGCCGAGTGGCGAGTGCTGATTTTCTGTGGTCGAAAACGAAAACAAACACAAATCCCAACGATGGTCACGTCACGGACACAATTTTTCGATATTTTCATTTTTAGCCCGGAGGTTTTGGATTTTACAAATTTATGTCTAAACTTTTAAATTATACAGTTCCATCTCTGATTTTTTTTTTAAAATTAGCCATGATGCGCATTGATTACAATGGTTTTATTGATCTTGTGCCTTCATGAAATGTTTTTATGGACTTTATGAGTATTTAATTCTTGCATTTATTATATATCACATAGTATAAGTCAATTGGGATTAAATTATGTCGTTTTCCATCTAATTATCTTGATTTTTTTGTTGTATAATTTTGATTCTATATTAATTTTGTGAGGTACAAAGTTGAATATATATATATATAATGTCTTTTTTTTAATGTTACCTACTTAAACTTATCTTGAAGCTTTTATAGTGATTCGTGTCGCCGTCGTAATTAACGCCGTCTGGTCCCCGTCGAATCGTTGACTAGAAGAAACTTCATCCATGCTAATTTCCGTCGTCGTCATAATTGACGCCGTTGAGCCGTTGACTTTGAGTACTATACAAAGATTTACTGGTTTAGTGGTTTGAATTTTTTGTCACGCAGTAAAAAAACAAAGCAAATTGATACCAACAAGACTATGAGGGGATTAATGAGTCTAAGCAGGTTTTAACGCGGCATCTAATCTTCCACTAATCTCGATTAGTCCCTAAATACAATGATTCTGTGCATTGAATTAATTCTCTCTCTATCTCTCTCCTATGGAAATCCTTAAATTATACCTTTAATTCATTCATCCATATTAACACATCTGAGACTAACCTAATAAAACCCCCCTAATTGATTTTATTTTTTTAGAAATTCCCAAATTTAACAAGAAATAAAACCATACATAGTCGTCATCATTTTTGTCATTTATATAAAAAAAACTAATCAAATCTTAATTTTGAAGAAAAAAATAATGATTTATTCTAAAATATCGTTTGATTTCAACATTTGCAATACCAAGATTTGCTATATAATTTGGTATATAATATATATATATATATATATAACATTTGTATCTTACAATATACTACATAATCTGACTTTAATCTAATGATATATATTCGTAACATATGATAATATTTAGATTATATGCCTATATATATATATTCAGTTGTCTTAGAATATATTGTCCAGTACATACAGTCCCAAGTGTTAATTACATTTTTTTTTAAAGATTTTTTTCGCGAAGGAGATTATGTATAATCATCCCATTTTGTGTACTGTTTAGTTTAGACAAAAGGAGCATAGCCTTGCAAATATATAAATGTTTTTCATAGGGAAATTCTCCCGGACGGCGGACGCGGCGTAAATGCAGCGGTCAGCCATTGGACGGATGCGGCGATAGGATAACGCAAACGCAAACGCAAACGCAAACCGCTGGTGAGTGAGGGCGGTTTGTCCGAAAACTAAAGAGATTGATGAAGATACGCCCAAATGGACGGAATATAACGTCAAGACTATTGGGCTTGACTTCTTCTTGACACAATGTAAATAGTAATTTTATTATTACTAAAAGTTTATATATATATATATATAATTATTGTTGTAATAAAATTAAGATGGTTTTGGTCATTAATCCAATAAAAAAAATAAAAAATCACAATTCTTTTAAAAATTGAACTTTTTATCAATAAAAAATCAAATCGAATCGAATCGATACGAAATTAATATAAAAACAAATTGTTATAATTTTTCTATAAGTGAAATGACCGAATCCAAATACAACCAAACCAAAATGGCTATCCTAATAAAAATTAATCCAAACAATTTTCAAACTTCTAAATTGGTATAAAATAGGTGACATGAGATCTAAGGTCGTCTTAGATTGTTTTAGATTCAAAAGTCACTGCATGCAATTGATGTGGCATAAATTTTATACAACATTGTAAGTAAATATAATATATCCATGCGACCAAAGTTTGTATTAGAAGAGATCTATTTTGGAAAGTGGATCGCCCACATTGCTCACATATTTAGTTACAAAAATATAGAGAGCAAATATAAAATATATTAATATATAAATCTAAATACTTATTTATATTTTAAAATTTGAATATGGATGAAACTCTTGTCGACTGAATAAATACAAAAGGAAATAAATTTAGAGTTTTGTACGGATGGCATGAAACTGTCTATGGATCATTTCGAAAATAAAAAATAATACAAAGAATCAAATATCACTGTAATAAAAAAATAGGGAAAAAAATAATTTGAAAGGTTGATACTTTTTATGGTTTTTATATAAATCAGATAATATACCTACCCCGAACTATAATTTCAACACGTAGTATTAATGCATTGGATGTTTCTATATGTACATTTATTATATAAAAACTAAAATAACAATGACAATAATAATAATGATAACAATAATTCAAGACTCTGTTCCTTTACCCTTGGGAAAGATAAGTGGTTGGGTTTAGTATCTGTCGGCTCTCTCTCTCTCTCTCTCCCCAGCTTGAGCAAAGATTCTAATCTATTAAATATTGTCCCAACTCAGTGTTGTTATTTGTTAATTATTTTAATTATTTTCTTTAATATTCTTCCCATTTTATTATCTTAAATCTTACACTCTAAAAATAATAAAATTTAACTTATAAAATTCATGAGTTAATATTTTTTTTTGGTTTATGATTTTAAAGCTTAGAATGAGTTTTGGATTAAAGATTTAAAATTTAAGGTTAGATTTTAGAATATAAAATTATTTAATGCTAGTTCTAAGATTCACCATAAATTAGAAATAATAAATGAAAAAATAAAATTTAAAATTGATTAAATAGTTTTAGCTGATATAGTATTGTTATAAATTATAGTCTATTAATTACTTATATTAAGTAATTAAAAAAGAAAGGAAATGGAGGTTCGAAAATGGGGAAAACAGATAAACCACCACTATCTCCTTCAACTCCAATCTCTTTCTGTCCGAATCCCTCACACCCGAAAAAGAATAAGCAAAAAAAAAAAAAAAAGAGAGGAAAGAATCCACTTCACTCCATCTCTGTCTCCTTAGCGTCTTCTGCAATGCAGTGAGACAAAACACCGATTCCAATTTCATCAACGCCTTTTTCTTCCTTTCTCTCTCGAATTCGTGGGTTCCTCTTTTTTTTTGGGGTTTTTTTTGTTTGGTTTCTTATCTTCTGGGTTCGTTAGGGTCTTCATTGCCTCAGAAGCTGAAAATGGTTGTACCCACCGATCAGGAGGGTTGTGATTATACTCGTTGTTCTTGCTTCAGTTCGAGCTCTTGCTATGGCTTCTGTTGACGAAACCCTAAATGCTCAGCCATGGGAAAGGCCGAAGATGATCGGAATCTGTCGTCCGGCGTCGCTGTCACCGGAGAAGAATCCGGTGGCTCCTCGGAGGGAAATGCGCGGAGACGCGGCGGCGGCTGCGGTTGCGGTTGCGGTTGGATCTCGGGGCTTGTCGGGTTCAGATGTCTCTTCGTGCTGATTCTCGCCATCGCCTTGTCTCTCTCTGCTCTGTTTTGGTTGCCTCCGTTCCGTTACGACACAGATCCGAAGGTTTCAGATCTCGATCCCAGGTTTAGAGGTGAGATGTTTCTCTCGTTTCGTTCGGATTCCGACCGGACTGTTTCCACTTGTTGTTTCTGTTCTTGTCTGGTTCTGCTGAGGAGAGTATCTGTTTCCGACCAAGAATCCGACCACCACTCTCTGCATCTGGGGGGGAAAAAAACCCATTTGTGTCTTCCCTGTCCTAAATCTTTGATCCTTCTGTTTGTATAATCCCATTCTTAGTATCTGGGAATGAGACTGTTAGGGTTTTCCTAGAATCCAGGGGAGGAAGAAAATCGGATCGAAATCTTACCGTATTTGTTCAAAGTTGGCCACTTTCTTTTCACCTAGGAAACGGGCAGAGTCCGTTACATGCGTTTGGGAAAACATTAAAGAATAGTTTCAAACATCGAGCTTCATTTACAAAATGACATTTTGGGTAAGGGGCTTTGTAAAGCGAAGACCTTTAACTTCTGTGCATATATATACACGCATATATATATATATATATATAGTGTTCATCCCATGGGAAAGCTCTGAAGTTTCTATTCTTGGCAACTGCAAAAGGAAACCTGCTTTATTGGGTCGAATCACTCAGAAAACAGTATGCCTTCGTGCTAGGGTTACATGTTTTGCTTAGATTTCTGATAAGAGTAGAGAAGAAAGAATAGTCTATTATCAATCTTGAGTTCTTTTCTGAATCATTTTAAGATTTGTGCAGATCATGAAATAGTAGCAAGTTTTCGCGTCAAGATGCCGGCTTCTTTCCTGGATCGAAGTATTTCTCAGCTCGAGGACGATATCTTTCAGGAGATGAGCTATGATTCCATCAAAGTACCCTTCGTCTTTCTTCCTTTGTGTGTTTTTTTGTTCATGATTGCGTGTATTATCCCGCTCCTGTTGTTCTGACCCGACCCGACCTTGTATGAATGGAACAGGTAACTATCTTGTCTGTTGAGCCTTGGGTTGGATCGAACACAACGAAGGTCATGTTCGGGATTGACCACGACGTGAAACACCAGGAGATATCTCCTCTGTCTTTGAATTCTATCAGGGAAAACTTTGAATCTTTTCTGATAAATCAACCCCCTCTCCAGCTAACAAAATCCTTGTTCGGGGAACCGTCCCTTTTCGAAGTGCTGAAGTTCCCGGGAGGAATTACAGTGATTCCACCGCAACAAGCATTTGTTCTGCAGAAATCCCAGATTCTATTCAACTTCACCCTTAACTTCTCTATTTACCAGATTCAGATAAATTTCGATGCTCTTACCAGTCAACTAAAGAAGGGTCTGAATCTAGCACCGTACGAGGTTTGTCCTTCCTTGTGATCCTTTGTGTTCTTTGTCTTTTCCCTTTTAGGTTTATTTTTTCTCTGCATGTCTAAGTTGCAATGTCCAAGATTTTTAATGCAGAACTTGTTTGTGAGCTTGTCGAACTCGGATGGATCAACAGTGTCTCCACCGACAATCGTTCATTCCTCGGTTCTGCTTAGAGTTGGGAATTCGAGGCCGAGGGTGAAGCAGCTGGCCGACACCATCACTGGGTCCCGCTCGAAAAACCTCGGTCTGAACCATACCATATTCGGTAAGGTCAAGCAAGTTCGTCTCTCCTCCATCTTACCAAACAGCACCAGTGACAGAGGCACTAACTCTCCTGCACCTTCCCCTCTTCCCCATGGCCACCACCACCACCATGACCATCACCATCACCATCCCCATGATCATCCCCATCACCATCTTAGCCCTTTTACGGCACCCTTGATTTCACCAGCACCTGCTGCCAAAAGAGGATCACATACGAAAGCTCCATCCTCACCTCCGCCCTGCCAATTCGGGAATAGAAGACGAAAAAGAGGAAATACCCGGGTGAGATATCCTCATTTGGCTCCTGCTCCAGAACCGTATCTCTCTCCTCGGCCTCCTGCCCTGCCCCCTCATCAATGGCTGCACCTGCCAGCACCAAACCCTGCGGCGAATTCTCGTCTAGTCCCGAGCCCTTCCCCTTTGCCACATGTGTTTGCTCATTCTCAACCGCCGGCCGAAAGCCAATCAAGTGATCAGCATTCGGACAAAGTTGCACCGATCTCGCCATCACCCTCTTCATGTGAGTACATACGTACATACATACATACATTGCTTTGCCATCGATTTCACGAGATACCCGAGTTTACATTGACTCCCGTTTCGTTATTTCTGGTTCTTCTTCTTCTTCCGGGCATGGCAGCAAATGCGGGTTCGTCAGCCGTCGAATGGACCATCGTCTTGCTCGTCCTGGTGGCTGCAGTGGCATGAAGGGGGTTCTATATGTGTCTTGTAAGTTATAGATGAAAAGTTTTCTGAAATCAAGCCAAGTGTATAAACGAATTCAGATGAAACCGGAAGAGGCCTTGTTATGGGTATGTGCCACACAAAAAGAGTGTGTGCCCCCCCACTGAATGTACATAATCCATCAAAATTTTAATATTATGACCAATGTTACTGTCATGTCATTTTATTTAGAAAAAGATATGAATTAAAATTAAAATAACAAATGTAAGATATTTTTATTGTTCTCTTTTGTATTTATTTATTTTGTGTGATGGATTTGGTGGGTGTAATGATGGAAAATATAACTTGAAAAAAAGATCAGACTGCAACGTTTTATCGTGCTGTTAGTTCCTAAATTTGACCATAATTTTCAAACTATATGTTATATATTTGCTTACTTTAGATGATTATTAGTTATACATGATGCAATATATGAACGCAAACACAAAATGTAACTCCTTTATAATATCTTATACGCATACAAAATATTCATGAGTATATATATATTCCAAAAAGTTATTATCGGCGACACAAATAAATATACTGAAAAATATAAGATATTTAATTTGATTTTATAGTGATATACGTGTGTGTGTGTGTATATGTATGTGACACCATGAACGTGGCATTTCTAAAAACAAACATGAATGAGCCAATGGTAACCAACCAATGGTCGGACCGACCAAACCATATCTAAGGGGGAACAAATAAAGCGGCTGAACGTCTCAGACAGTTGGGACTTGTTTTTTTTTTTTTTTGCTTTTTTCAGGTTTTAAGTTTATTTCCTTTATTTTGTTTTTGGCAATTCCAGATTTTTTTTGTAAAGGCAAAAATTGTTAAATTTCGAGGAAGTATCGAATTAAGACAAACGATCATTATTACATTATTTATAAAAGCATCTTAAAGGCTTCAACTTTTCCTCTCTCATCTGTTGCGAGGGAGAGGAGATCGGCCGAGTGTTTGCGTTTGGCTTTCTCTCTCTCTCTCTCTCTCTCTCTCTCTCTCTCCTGTCTTCTTCTGAAATCTCCCTGTCTCTCTTATCTCTCCAGTAGAGAAGAGGAAAACAAGGGCGACAGGGGGGGAGAGAGAAGCGCCATGGCTGCTCTGAGCGAGAAGGAAACAATGGTGGATCCATTTCTGGTTGAGGCTCTTCAGAACCCTCGTCATCGTCTCACCAGTTAGTGAATTCCTGATTTTCTCCCGAACCCATGATTCGATTTGCTTTTTCAGTTCGTGGGTTGATCTGGTTTTGGTTATTCCGTTTCTCGGTAGTAGTAGTTATCTAGGGTTCTTGACGGAATTGTTGAATTTTGGGTTTCCTTTTGTTTGGACCCTGTTTAGGGTTTCGGATTATTCGTTCCGATTTCTGGGTTCTGTCTAGAAATTACGGTTCATCATGCTGCTTGATGATAGATCCATGGCTTATATAGTCTCATCTTGTTTCCCTCGATTGGAAATCATTATCGTTTATTCTCAGCTCATCAAAAGCTGAAACGCGAAAGCTTGTTACATCTAATCCCATTTTCCGTGATTTGATTTGACAATGATTCAGCATATTCTTGATTCTCTAATGCCACTTGTCGATCAAGTAATTTCATAGAATCTACAGACATTTTCAGTATATGAACTCAAAATATTGGTGAAAGAACGAAGTTTATTTCTTTTGTAATCTCAAACTCCTTTTTTTTACATGTGTTTTTTTTGCAAGTTTTGCGAATGGAACTTGAGGTACAGAAATTCTTACGAAACACCGAGCAGGATCAGTTCGAGTTCCAGCATTATCCGACATCTTACCTCCGGCTCGCAGCTCATCGTGTTGCTCAGCATTATGGATTGGTAACCATGGCCATGGATGGTGGTTTAGATGGCTCTGGGAACAGAATTCTCGTGAGAAAAACTGCAGAAATCCGATACCCTTCTGTTTGTTTGTCCGAAATTCCTGCTAAGCAGCCGGAAAACGATAAACCTGAGGTTATGAAAATAGCGATCAAGCCTAGACCGACCAGAGGATGGGGTGAAGGTGCTGGAGCAGGAGGAGTGCATCAGAATGTTACGAGAAGTGTTGAGGAGAGAAAGGAGGAGTACGATAAGGCTCGGGCTCGTATATTTAACAGCCCTACCGGTTCGGATTCTGATGATTCCTCGTCACGAGATGGGAAACATATGCCTCTGAATGGAAGTGAGACCGGAGTGGCGAGGAATCTTTCGGTTTGCACCGAGAAAAACCTTAGTATCGGGGAATCTGGAGGAATATCTCGGGTTGCCATCATTAGAGACAGAGAGAAGGATCAGTTTGACCCTGACTATGACCGGAGCTATGGAAGGTACGTTAGGGTTATGCCCTCAGGTCAAAATTTCTCCGCGATACCGATTCAACTTCTGTTTCACGATGGGTTATTACCTCAGATCCCAATAACTCAAGCTAATCTGAACTATTCTCACCCCTTAAACCCGCCAATGAGTCCCTTCTCCTCCACCCCGATGGGGAACTCAGCTACTCATATACAGTGGCCGAACACCGCGATGATGTATGCACAGTCGTACCAGCAGCACTTCGGACACGCTGCTTTTCGGGTAATTCTCTTGTTCTTTTTTTTTCCCTGACAATCAGTCCTGTCTTCTGTCTGAATCTGAATTCCACTGGAAATCTCTTGCAGGCGCCCTTCTGCCAGCAGCCACTGAGCTTCGAATACCTGCAGAAGAACCGGTAATGTCTATCCATTTACTTGTATCCCATCCATTTATCGATAGCCATCGTAGGAATTTTCCGAACATTAGCCCCGATTTTGAGAGATCTTATATTACAGACATCACCTAAGTCTTCTTCTACTCATCTGCATGTTATGTTCTGCAACTGTTTTCTGTAGAAACTCTGTTATTAATGTGTTGTTGTTGTTGTTGTTTGGGGCGGATTATTCGGGTTTCGGTTCGTTTGTTTCTGTTGTAGAAGAATTATAACCGTTCGGGTTTTATATTGAATTCTGAATACTTAGTCCAGAAACCAACCGTTGCGTGTCATGGATCCTAACTCTCTCCCTACTACTCGGGAAAGAAACTGTGAGGGCTGAAAAAACGTATGCTCGGCGGTTATTATAACGTGGAACTGCGAATGTATGTTGGCATTTCATTTTCGTACGTACAATGTCTGGACACGGGTCGAGTATCTGAGTTTTCCGAGAGTACTCAAACCCGAATGCGTCATGAAACGGCGAGAACTCAACGGACAACGAAATCAATGAAAAGTCGAATATTTGCGAAGGAGCATGCATAGGGTTGGAGAGGAGAACAGGCGTACGCTTCGGTTTTTTCGGTTTTATTAAAATAGGTATTAATTAGTTATTATATTATATTTGGTTCAATTCCGATTCGGTTTGGTTATAGTTTTTATTAAAAAAGTATATATCTTTTTAAAATATAGGTACATACAAATTCAGTACATTTGCCACAAATGAACTCGGTTAAGAACATATCTGATCTGGAAAAAAACCAAACTGAAACTGAGGAACATGATCAGGTAATAAAGTTACAGCACATCTAGTAAGTGTCCCTTCCTTCCATGCGGAATATACGTGGTGAACTCGTTTTTTTTATACAAACTGGCCGAGGAGAGCCATTTCCAGTTCAAAGACAGAGAACCGATTTGAGTGAAGTGTTCTTTAACAAAATTTTCACCAAACATTCAATCGTCTCGAGTTGGGAATAGAGTCAACACCGTCCTCCCTCCTCCTGCATTTGCAGATTCCAAATCTTCTGCATAGCTATTACCCCCCACTGGACTGTGCAATTGCAATGGCGCAGCCATTCTCTGAGCCTGTTGCTGTGTCTGCCTTGCCAAGAACGAGTTCTCGAAATGGCCCATTTGCCGGTGGTGGAACTGCGGGGGCTGCAGGTGGTGGCTCCCGGCGGTCATCTGCTGCTGCTGTAATGTCGCCAGTGGGACAAAAGACGGTGTGAAATGCTCCGAACTCGCCGCCCTTGTCGGATGCAAGAAATGGGCAGGTACCGGTGAGCTTGCGAACAGACGGTCGGTCGCCGGATCAGAACCGGAAACTCCGCCGTTTCCGCCGCCGGAGGATAAGCCCTGCATTCTCTTGAGGTACAAACGGTACTTCTGCAAATGGCTGGCGACGTTCTCTCTGGTCAGACCGTCGACGCTCATCAGCTGCATGATGGTCTTCGGGACCGCGTTCTTGATTCCTAGATGAGCGACTGCGTCGACGAACCGCTTGTGCAGCTGGGGTGTCCAGACGAGTCGAGGCCGCTTCAACGTCCGAGCTGACTCGTCCCCGGCGGCTCCTGAGCCCAGATCCGCCGAGTCAGCGGCGAAATCGGCGGAGGAGTTGGCTTGGGAAGACGGCGGCGGAGGCTGGTGCGCTGTGGTCTGGTGGTGGGTGTGACCGGAATGGCAGATTCCATGGTTAGGGCTCCGGATATCGAAGGCGAGGGCGAGATCGGGAGAGATTAGAGATTGGGACAAAGGGATGAGATCCTCTGGGGACGGAAGCTCTTCTTCCCATCTGGCGAACCAGTTGGACTCTTCCTCCCTCATCTTCAGACAAAACCCGATAAGCGAAAGACTCGGAAGTTCACCTGCCGATCTGATAAACCCAGAAAATCTTTCAACACAGACGTCCAAAAATCGACAGAGAATCAAGGAGAGAAAGCAACGGAAAGGTACAGCCTTTGCTTCCCATACCAGAAACCCAATGAGATAAACGACGATAGAGATCACCCGACAATCACAGTCTACCCGAAAAAAGAAAAAACAAATCCCAGAGAATTTCCGAGGAGATTCGATCCGAATTGAACCCAGAACCGCGCAAGAAATGAACGAGTCTTCAGCTGAAACGGCCAATACCCAAATGCAATAAGCTCGATTCGATCGAGAAGAAGGAGGAATCAGGAGATTGATGAGAGGAGAAAGGTGGAGAGAGGTTCGAGGTGGATCTTCTACCTTAGCTTTTTTTTTGGGCTTATGTTTCAGCTTTTCATCATCTCTAACCTGTGATGGTGATGACTGATGATGATGATGATGATGAGGGAACTATAACACTATTATTATTATTTTCAGATGCCTTTATTATTATGAATTTTATGTTTGATAGATTGCGAAGATTTTTTTTCCCTAAATTACAATTATTATTTTTTTCCAGATTTTGATGGTCTTAGAGATCGAGACATTGCAAGATTCTTTCTTGCATGTTTTTTTTTTCTCCGTTCAAAACATCATTAGATTCGACGCCTACATGGGCGCGTGATGTCCACTTCCATTGTCAGAAACTAAACTCCCAGATGCAGACCCCCCACTTGTTGCGTTTTGAAATCATATTAAATTGAAATAACAATAATTAATGAAAATAAAAAAATAAGCTCAGTTTTTCGTATCGTTGATTATTGATGATTGGATACAAGAATAGATGTTTTGGTTTATGTTTATAAGATGGAACAAAATGTGTTAAGGTATAATTATATTTACTTTTTAAAAAATTAAATTAATTAAATTGAAACCGAATATAAAATAACTAAAAATGAATAAACTAACTTTAAAAATAAATAAATTTCTCTTAATAAGAACTGAATATAACGAAATTTTAGATATTTAAATAAAATGGGTTTGACTTGGTGGAAGGCTCCAAATGCTGATATTTAATATTGTTATAACCACACGATTAAATTAAGATATCTGTTTATCTTTAATTATACGTGGCGATTGACTATTGGTGTTTTATTGCTTATTAGAAAAATTCGATGCCTGCGTCTTTTGGAGCTTGGGAGATGGGAGAAAGAGATACATAAAACAATGTTATATTATACATATATCTAATAAACACAAAATTATAATTTCTTTTTTTTGGTTGTAACAACTAAAACGTGTATAATTGGCATTTATGTATGTATGTGTGTATATGCATATATATATATATATATTGTATGACATTAATTTCACGTAAACTATAGTGTCTATAAGATATATTATACATTTAATTACAGCAGAAAATACGATATTTTTGTTGATAGAGAGAATTCACAAGACTATATTTTCTTTCTTTTTTTGTTAACTCACAAGACTATATTTTCATTTGTAAGCAAATATATAAAAATAATCGATTATGGAATATATATATATATATATAACAAGAACAGTGTATACGGATATGACGTTCACTTAATTATCTAAAACCATATATATAAAACTTTGGGCCTCCTTTTTTCTCGACATGAAAAAATGCAATAATGCAGAAATGGACCGTAAAAGTCAAAAGTTCGCATAGCCAAATATGGAATCTGTGCGACTCGATACTCGATAGTCCACAATATACAACTTCAATTTATTTTTGATATTATAGAAATATAGATTTAATCTAATTGGACCCATGAGGCACATATTCTTGTCTTCTTTCTTGGAATTACGAGATAACTCTGCCTTTTAAAATATGAAAAACTCCAAAAGATAATCCACCATTTCAATATCTTCTTATATATATATATATGTATATGTATATATGCATGCACACACATGCCCACGCACATACACATATATATTTGTATGTGTGATAGTGTGAGCGTGTGATTGAAACTATATGCGTGCACACACACATAAATAAATAATTATATATATATATATATATATACGTTTATTTGAAACTAAAAAAATTATGGGTTATTTGAAAATTGCTTGGCCCAATCATACACGTTTCGAATGATCATCAAACGGCAGAATTATCCATGGATATGGAAATGCATGCATATATGTTTCTTCCTCTTTAAAAAGTTTACAAATGGTGAGTTTTTGGCTTTAGTTTTTTGTTTTTTATTTTTGGTTTTTGAAAAAAAACTAAATTTACAAAATTTTTAGTCATTTTTTTTTAGATTTTTGGATTCTAAAAACTCCAAAAACTTCATCTATTTAATTCCTTAGTTGTTATACCGATTGAGTGTATTTTCATTCCATGTTTTGATTACATAATTCCAATTCATATGCATACTCTGTCATATATATATATATATATATAATGATGATATATGTTGGGCCATCACATCAAACGTAAAAATGGGCCATGAAATTGGGCTAAGACGTCTTTTCGGCCCTTTGGTTGGTCGAATTTTCACCCTTTTGCTTACACCAACTCTGACCAAAGAAACCAAACTTGAGGAAAATATTACACACAAAAAAAGAGTGTAGATTGATTATATTTACATGCATGTGAACCATAAAACCAATATATTTTGGTATCTAAAGAAAAATTTTAGATTATATAATTTTCAACCTTTTTTTATTTTCATTTATCAAAACTTAATCCGTACTTAACATTTCAATTTAAATATGTAAAATAGAACCGAAATATATAACTGTATCCTATTTCAAAATCGATTAGATAAACACGACATAAAGGCTAATCGGAAAAATTAAATCGAAATAATTTTAAATAAATATTATTAATAAAAATTTAAATCTGATAAAAAAAATAAACGAATAGGTATATAATTATTGTAAAATTTAGAAACCAAATATAAAATCGAACAGGATTTGGATGCCAACTAGTCTTATCAATATTTAAAACCAAACAGAGATATATATATATATATATATACTTTTCAAATTTATGTATAAATGTTTGGTGTTTATCGTTTTTGGAAAATATAATCGAAGCCTATACCAAAGAAAATATTGAGTGGAGCGTCAAAGATATAAAAGGGAAAAAAATAACATGAAGTATCTGACACCGTAACGGCTAGTTGACGACGACGCCCTAACGGTCACTGCCAGGCTGGAAATTCACAACGCTGCGATAATTCCATTATTTTAAAAATGATTATTCAAATTAAAGAAATAAAATTCATTTTTTTTTTGCCAACAAATTTTTTTTAAAAAAAAGCGGCTTGTCCCCACGTTCCGACCGACAGAATCGGATACGAAAATAATTGTCTTAAATATGATCATTGTTTACGACAATAGAGATAATGATATTACACTGAAAAATATATATGAAATTTGATGAATTTTAAAACCTAATTCCTGAAACAAATAAAACAAAAATCATTATATCGGGTATTTTATTTATGGTAGAATTTCAAATAATAAATCGCATTCTCTCTCTCCAGATATTATTAATAATCTGAATCTCATTATTAATGATTTCGAGAGGCGAACGCCAGAGAGAGGGATCTCATTTCTCACTCTTTGCCCCCCCCCCTCTCTCTCTGTGCGCGAAAGGTACTTCAGTTTCAATCATCGGGGAATCGGTTTCTCCTTGAATCAGTGGATTAGGGATTCGATTCCTTGCCTTTTACCTTTCCTGGGTTTGTGTTCTCTTTGAATTTTCGCCGATTCATGGCTTGTAAATTCGAACCGATTAGGTCGTAAGAGTTGTAGGCTGAAAACCCTAGAGTCCGTTTCAGCGGGCGAGGGCCTTCGTCAATTGCGCGAGATCCTCTTAATCTTGCGGGATTAGTCATTCTAGGGTTTTCTTCAGTTTCTTTGATTAGCCTTTGTTTTCGCTTTCATACTTGTGTTTGGATGCGTTTCGCTTCACATTTGGGGGTTTTATTTTATGCCAATTCTCTCCATGGTTTGGGTTTGATTTCTCATGTGATGTACTTCTCTCTGTTAATTCGTTACTTGACTGTTCATCGAGTCAAAAGTTTTCCAACTTTGCTCGTTGATTTTCTCAGCGTACTATAATCTGGTTTTTGATTACACACACACAACATATATATATGTATGTATATGTCTTAATCTTGTCAGAAGTTCTTTTGGCATGACTGTCTGGTTAGGGCATGTTTATTATGTTTCAAATCTGTTGTGAAGTGACATATTTGTATTGGATTGTTTAGGGCTTCCAGTGTTTGTGGCATCGACACCAGTGGCTGAGTGAAAGGACAAGTTTTGAGGACCCTTTTAGTTTGATGATGGTAATATTATCTTCTGAACTGATATGACTTCCAAGAAGCATGAATTTCTTCATTTGATGGCACTGTCATACCTTTCTCTACTTCTCAGGCAAGTAACGAAAATCTCCCGCCGAATGTTGTCAAGCAACTCGCAAGGGAACTTAAGAATCTCGATGAATCCCCTCCCGATGGCATCAAAGTCGTGGTAAATGATGAAGATTTTTCAACAATATACGCTGATATTGAAGGACCAGGTACCCGGTCATCATCTTCCTTCAATTTCTTTATCACAGCTGATTACTAAGTTTTTGTCCTTGATTACTTGCAGCGGGGACTCCGTATGAGAACGGTGTTTTCCGTATGAAGTTGGCCTTGTCGTACGACTTTCCTCATTCCCCTCCTAAAGGTCTGTTCATTATGCACCACCGGATTAATCCAGAGACAGATACGATCGTCTTAGTTGTTTCTGAAATGTGAATTGTTTTGATGTATAGGCTACTTCTTAACGAAGATTTTCCATCCTAATATTGCAACCAACGGAGAGATTTGTGTTAACACTCTGAAAAAAGATTGGAATCCCAGTCTTGGATTAAGACATGTTCTCACTGTAAGATTCATAAACTGTTCTCTGTCTTCATTAGTTCGATAAAACTTAAGTCCTCTGTTTTTTTCCTGCCAAACAGGTTGTGAGGTGCTTACTGATCGAGCCATTTCCGGAGTCTGCATTAAATGAACAGGCTGGCAAGATGCTGCTTGAAAACTATGATGAATATGCAAAACATGCTCGGTGAGTCATCTTCTTATCCATGGCCCCTTCCAACCGCTTTGTCTTTCATTCTTTTGTGTCAAAAACTTAAATTGAACCAGTGAAGTCATTTGAAATCTCTGCCCGATTATCCAATGCAGGCTTTACACAGGTATCCATGCCAAACCAAAACCTAAGTTCAGGACAGGGGCTATATCAGAATCTACGGCTGCTCTAAATGTTGACCAGACAAATACAATGGTTGATCAGAACAACGAGATGCCCAATGCTGCTAACCTGGTACCCACTTCAACAACAGACGTCAAACGAGGACCAACAAGCGGCCAGGACCAGCAAATGGCTAATGCTGTCACAGCAGCTACTTCAGGATCGGTAAGTGTAGCGGGGAAAGGGGTCGGTATGCAGAGAAAGGAAGCGGGTTTGGCAAAGGTTCAGGCAGAGAAGAAGAAGGTAGATGCCCGAAAGAAGAGCTTGAAGAGATTATGACAATATCGTTAGTATCTCATCTCATCCCCCAAACTGTTGTTTCGATTTCGTAAGAGTCTCTATATTGTCTGTAACGATTACTCTCTCATCCACGGGGAAATAAAGATGATCAATGGAAGCATCACGTTTTACCTTTTGGTATGTTCTAATCAACCATTTGCTGAGTTCATCTCATCTCTCCCCAGTGTTCTTGCATGTGATCTGAATCGTTTGGTTCAAACTCGGAGGAGACCAGACCATGACAGTGAGCTCTGAACAATTTTTTCTGTAATTCTTCTGTACATATCAGAATGAACTAGTTACATAAAACAGGTGATGCAGTTTGAGAGATCATTCTCCAAGGTAAATGCTTGTGCAGTTTTCCGGCTGGGACGAGAGAAAGATGGATCAGGGAGAATCATCTCCAACCTTCTTCAACCTGTCATCATGATTCATGGTTCTTCATATTTTCGCCTTTGCTAAACACTCCCATTTCAATATCATATTTCCCGTTTGTGCTAACGTCCGAGTCGAATTCAGACATGACGGAGCCTGTTGCAATATCGTCATCATCTGGAACCCATGCTCGGAAATTTATCTGTGAAGGTGGGATCTTGGTGAACAAGACTTCCTTCAGATTCCTCAGTAGCCCTCTCTTGTAGGGATTCTCCCTCCTATCATACCGGTACCGGAAATTCTCTAACGTTGTCTGCATAAAGGCAACAACTTTATTAACAACAGAGATTTGTAAGGTATCTTCTTCTTACAAGCTTCCTAAAGGTCAGAACTTTAACCTGGTTTGTGGAGATCAGATAAAAATGGAAAACTGTAAGGCCACCGACGAACCAGACAGCGACGAAGGTATAGACAATGAGAATGACGGAGATCATATCATGGGCTAGGACCTGCCATAGTCTGCCTGGTTGCCGGAGCAGATTGAACCACGAGAATACGAACACATATATACAAAGCAATGTCGAGGATGATACGAAACAGATGAAGAACGGGTAATTACGCTGCAAAAGAGGGAGCACCCGACAAAAACTCTCATCAGTTCTTCGGGATATAAGAAAGTGAAACACGATTTCCACGATGGGTTAGATCAATAAACACTTGGAATCTATGATTGTGGATGCAAAAAGGAATGAAATAACACGTACTACAGCAATACACTGTCCAACCCAAGGACAGTGGTGATCAAAGCGTTGGACACAGTTGTTGCAGATGGAGCAGTGAGATGCCCGAGGTGGACGGTACAACAAGCAAGTCTCGCAGAATTTGAGTTTGATCGTGTACCCATTCACCAACACGTCTTTTGTCTTCGGTATCATGAGATTCGGTGTTTTGCAGTTCACCCATTCCATGGATTGGGTCATATAACCATCTGAACTGCCATCCTCATCCATAGTCGGCAGCTGTTTATTCCTCGGGATGATTCCGGGATCTCTAGCCGACGTTAGCAAGAGAAATGTAAAGTCCTGTAGATTCAGACAAGAAGATATGGAGCTCAATAGCTGAGGATTTGGCAGAACTTAAATTAAGCAATCTGTTCTACCAACCAAGAAAGTGAGGACAAATCCACAGGCCAGGACAGGATAATTGAACCACGGGTCGCCATTTCTGATCCGTACAAGCATCCTAATGCAGAATGCAAATGCAGGAGCTCCGATCAAGAATGAGGTTAGAAACAGAGATGACACGTCGGGACCGAAGATTAGCATCCCTTTACAGCAGAACTTCTGAAGAAACAGAGGCAAAAGCATAAGATCTTTCACCAATATCACTTTCTAATAACACATTTCTTTCAGCTTTAGAATCGTTTGAACATGAATGCTCATTCATTCAGAGATCCTAATGAACAATCTTCGGCTTCATAACGTAAAAACATAATCATCAAACCATCCTTATAACATGTCGAAGCAAAAAAGCATCACAAAACATCAAACTGTTCATACAAGAAAATGATGATTGAGAATAAGAAAAAGTTATTTACATTGTTACCCTTCCAGACTTTGTAGGCTCTGATTTGGGAGATGGATTTGGAGGTGGAAGCCGACATATCAATATGATGATCAGCGGGAGGAACACAATGAACCTGACTGCTCTTCTTCGTGGTCATTCTCCCCCTCTCTCTGCATCTTTCACCTGTTTGCCCAAAACTAACGTGAAACCTGACTTCGAATCATTCTTTTTTCTTTACCCTTTTCTCTATCTCATAGTTTCTCTTCAAATTTCTAAGCTTTTTCTCTAAATTTTTTCTGGGTTTTGCTCCTTTTTTTCTGGGTATTAACAAAATCGAAGGAAAAAAATGGGTTTTTGGGATTTCTCTCTCCCTCCCTCTTTTTTCCTGTCGTGGTTGTTCTTCCCCTAATTAGAAATTCATCGAAGGCAAATGCTATGCAGTTCGGTCCTCTGATGATTTCCAAAATTTCCGGGTTTTTGACGCTAATATTTATTTACTGAAAGGAAAGGAAATTTAGGAGAAAAGGTTTGAAAAAAATGGATGAAAAAGACGAGGGAAATCTAGGATGGATCAACATGATTGATTACAATGTGCTGCATCTTTTGTAATATTGTTTTTTTTTTTAAATTGGGACAGAAATAAAAATATAAAAATATTTTATAATCTATTTTAAAAAATATAATATAATGGAGAGAAGGCAGATTTCCGTTGATGTAACAGTTAATCGCTGAGTGAAAGCTGAATCTGAAATTTTTTAAAAAAATTGGATTTTTAACCAATAGAGGAATACTCGATTTTCGAATATTCATTTTGTAGACAGAATCAAATATTCGAAAATACGGATTTATTTTCGTATCCACCCACCCCCAATTCATCGGTTTCTACTTGATGGTTGAAAGCTTAAGCTGTTCTTCCGACCATCAACCCATTCTCTCGTAAACTTCACTGCCGCCGTCGGTCGGAAAAAATAAACGATCACCGGAAAAGTCTCTCTAATCGGAGACTGCCCCAACGACAACATCCGTCAACGAACATGAAATTTACCCTATTTTTCAACAACACAGAATCACCAGTCTTTAACTTCCTTCTCCATCCAAAAATATACATAATATGTTTCCTGGAAAATAACCCAAAGACATCTGAAAATCTGGATACAAAAACACCAAAGGCAATTCAAAGCCTGAAATGCCAAGTTCGTGAAAGGGCCAAAGGTAGATAAGGAACGTTCTCTCTCTTTCGAATCTGCCATGCTCATACGACCTGGTAATTCTCTGTCGTAAGCTGCGTCCTCTGCCCGAACTTTGGAGGTGCACCTCCTCTCAGCGGGATGATCCCCATCACCTGCATCAATCCATATCTCGGTTTTCAATCCCTGACATTATGATCCCATATACGTAAATTCCGGGGAAAAAACGATATGATTCCAAGGTTTCCGGTCCTAAATTATCGATGTTTTTCGGCTTTGATTCATCTTTTTTAAGTGTAGAAAGAGCTTGCGGGAACTGAGAAGAGTATATACCCTCAAGTCGCTGTAAGTACTGGTTGCTGTGAACCTGACTGAAATGGGGAAGAACACTGATGAATCAACTGGCGGCACCACGAACTCCATCGACCCGCTGCCAGAGAGATTTAAACAATCGGTTAGACGAGAAAGAATAGAGACAGGGCTGATGGGATTGAGGATTTTTTTCGAATGGTATGGCTAGTTAGTTACCTGCGGTTAGAGTTGTCGATGAGCAGAATTGACCACTCCAGAACAGAATTTCGTGAGTCGTACCTGAAATTCATAACGAATGGGTTCATTTGGTAAGCAAAAGGAAATCGTTCAATTTCATAAAACCCAGAAAAGCGATTTAAGTTTCAGAACCTCCATTCCCCGTCGATTTGTTTGACGTTGGGTGCCTCACGGAGAGCAGGAAGAGGTACCGATATAATAACATTCCGTAGATCAAACATGGACGAGGCTTCATACTCGATGCTGACATAGGTCTCGTTTCCAGAGACCGAGGGCCAGCAGTTGACTGCACAAGACGAGGAGATCCACATGAATGAGATAGACATGCAAATGTAAAACTGTAATAGACAAAGGGCTTTAATTTTTTAAAACCTACTTGTTAGTGGTACCATTGATTCATCAGCTCCTTGCATTCTCCACCTCAAAAGACCGACACCATCTCCTCCTTGACCTGTGGGGAATGGCCGGTTAGGGTCCTTCAGACCTAGAATATTCTCATTAGCAAACAATTCTCTGTTTATGTTGGGATGGGTCTTGAAGAGGATGCCAGGATTTCCGCCGGTTTCGATCTGAAAATAAAGTTGTAATACATCGTTTCAAGTCCATACTTCATAGTAAAGAATGATATGACGATTTCAGAATACACCACTTCAGACACACTTGCAAACAGAGCTTACCTGAACTTGGACAAGTCCGTCTTCTTGGTTAAGGATTTGAAGCGACAAGGTGCCTTGAGCATCAAAGTTACTGATTCCACCATCCCGTCTCAAAGTGACATTGAGCTTCTCTTCAACACTCAATGTGAACGGATCAGTTGGAGGAGGGGCAGCTGCTTTGGACTGGCCTATTATAGGCTGAACATCTTCAACAATGACTTCGCCTTCTGCTTTAAGTGATTCCATCATCTGGCTCGCCCTCTTGGACTTGCCAAGTTGCATGCCGTGACCCTTGGAAGGAGCAACAGCAGAAGACCGAGGGCGATCTGTGGAGATTTACCACCGTCAAAAGACATCCAAATCGCAGAGATATTTAATCTAAACATGATATCAGGACATAGACGAACAAACAAACTAAACATGGAATTGATACATATCAGAATCGGAAACACTCATGAGGGAAGACAAGCACAAACCTTTAGCTTTGGTACCAGTAGGCTCAACGTCTGGGATCATGCCAAAACCAGAGCCACTTCCAAAACCACCACCGCCACCGCTGGAAATGCTCATGTCACTGAAACTGCTTTCAAGCCTTCCAGATCCCATTGAACTCAAAGACATAAACCCTCCCTTATCACCTTTATTCTTCTCGATCTGGCAATCGGACAGAAAAGATTAATAGAAGTTACAGAGACAACAACGAGAATAGTGCATATTCTAGTTATGTACCTTGCTCTTGTCAATCTCACTAGCCTTACGCTTCATCACATCTCTAGTCTCATTGATTTTGCTCTGCATTACCAGTTTGTGCAATTTCTCCTCATGACTCTCCATCTCACAGTACTGCTTAACCTGAGCAACTGTGACACCCTCCCTGTGCCCAAGAGAAATGACTTCATCGAAGGCAAATATCAGCTCAAAGGCAGCACTGCCAATACCTTCCTCATCTAGAGACATGGAATACTCAGGTACCTAGAAAAAAGAGCAGTCAAATTGCATGGATTTGCCTAGTCTTAAGAAAAATATTTGAATTTCGAAAAACACAAGCTCACTCTTTAGAAAAAATAAAATTGAGAAAGATAAGGAACTGTCGCATCTTCAAACATAAACTAGAAAACAACAAGGACGTTAAAGATTCAATCCATGCAAGGAACAGGCAACGTTAAGGCAAAGTTCACTTTGAAGGTGGTTAACCAGGGCCCAAACAGTTCCAGTGCAAACAGTGATAAACTCTTGGAAGAAATTATAATTCAAAGGAGAAGATGGACGCATACAAGTTTGGAGAGCATCCTCAAAGTGTCCAAATCTTCTAGAATGTTGCTCTGCTTAGTTGTGACAAGAAGCAAGAACAAGGCTTCAATAGGCTGATAAACATATCTGACATTCTCAGTCTCGACATATGTATGCTGCTTGCCAGTGCCAACCAGTTTTGGAAAGGCTGCAAGTAGACCTTCAATTCTGATGCGAGACATGTCCACAAATTGTCTGGACACAAGCACTGAAATACAAGCACATGGGGAAACTCGTGAAAGGTTAGAAATGAAAAGTGGAATAAATTGCAACCAACTACTCTAAACTCTAGTAACATAAATCACAGAGAACAGTGGAATGACATGGATGACTCAACAGAGATTCACCTTTTCCAGATTTATTCACGATGGAAGCAGCTAGGACGACCTATAAATCACAATTTAAAACTTTAGCAAGGTCCCAAAATAAACCAGACATTGAAGTTGCACAAACCGTAGCATCGAAAATCATACCATTTTGATTGGCTTGTCAGATCCCAACCACACCAACAACTAGGAAGACACGGATGGACTGCAAAGAACCAATGATATAGAAAACCCAGTTAGCACCCTAAACCAAAAAAGTGTATCAGTGCCTCAGTGGCATCATCATAAAGCGTGAATAAACTCGATATCCAGTTTCAGTATAACCCTGCCTCTGGCTCTATCAGAATGGCGCTCAGTCCAGGTAGTGAATTTAAGAAAGTGACAGCTTTCTTATGACTTCTCCTATGTATGGTTAAAGTCATCAAGCTGTGCTATGCTTAAAGAATTCATCTTATCTCTGCCTCCCTTATTAAACTGGGCATGAATTGATCGCTCAGATTTCCCCAGCAGTATTCATTTCCGCCGTACCCTATACATCGTTCTAGGAATCACGGATCATGGAAGAGATCTCGCATCCGGTAAAGTTGAAAAGAGGAATCCAAACGAAATCGAAGAATCCACAGCTCGAGAGTCGAAACACAAAAACATAAAACAAAGTCCGAGACATACACCTTAGATCCGACGGATCCAGGACAGAAAAAGCCAATCTCGAATCAGTGCCATCACTTGCCAGAATTCAAAGGGTAATTAATACCAAATCGAATCAGGCGGCTCCGGGAACGGAAATCTCTTCCAATGTAGATCCGAGAATTCCCGAATTGAAAAGACGGCAGGCAGGAGAAGTGACGTACCTGGATCGACCGGAGAACAGGATTCAGGATGGCAAGAGAGCTTCCCGAGCAAGATCGGAGGATGAGTGAAATGATTTTGTCAATCGTCGTTCCTAAAATGGCAGATGCAGCGTCGGTTTATGGGCTCAGCTTTACGGCCCATTCTATTGTTCTGTAATCCTTAATCTTTGGCCCATTTCTTATTAAATCTGGTTTATGGAAAAAAACAAACGTGATTTAGATTTTAGAGTTACAATTTCATCATTTTAGATTCCGTTTCCTTTTTTATACATTTATTTCTTGCTCGATATTGTCTAATTAGTGTGTGTATAATATATATAATTTAGAAAACCGTATCTAATTGATTTTGGGCAGAATCCAAATTAGACATAAATACATCTATCTAATCCGGTTTGATTTAGTTATGCATATTATAAAAATTTATCAACTATTAATTTTAAAAAATATCAATTATATATCTTTTATTTTAAATATATTATAAAAAAGTCATCAACTATTTGTTGTAATAAAAAAATTTATCAACAATCTAAATTACTTAAAAAAATTCTACATTTATATTTATTACATAGATTCTATAAATTTTGAGAAAAATTATTAAATATTTAACTTACTAAAAATACCTTTATTTTATATAAAAAATCTCAATTTATACAATATTACATATAAAATATCATATTTTTATTTTACTTTAGAAAATATATATCATCTCTTATATAATTAATTTATATGTAAATTATATACTATATAATATTAATATATGGTAAAATTTTAAATATAATATTTGAAATCAATAAAATATATTTAATTTTTGAACTATATTATTTGGATATAAATTTATTATGTAATGAATGATATTTATAAATATTTATACAAATTTTAAATATTGTAATGTCATCATTTATATATGTTTTTCTATTCAAAATTTATAATTTTTTTATAACAAATTTAAATAGAATGTTTTTGAATAATTTATGTAATTGATGGTTTTTTTTTATTAAAATTTATAGTTAAATTGAAAGTGAAATATTATTTTTAAAACAAGTTATATAGTTTATGTTTTCTTGTTAAAATTAATAGTTGATGAATTTTATAGTAAGTTTTAAATAGAAGATTGATTTGGTGTAAATAAAATAGGTGCTGTTTTTTTTTTGGGTTTATTACTAGCCTAATTGTATTCAATTTTGTACTATAAGATATCATTAGGAAAGTGCCTAAAACATTGATTTAACAACTATTCTTCTTTGTTAATTTTAATACATTATCTACACACGATGGTTTAATTTTTTTACAAAATATAAAATTTTCGTGGGTAGAAATTAAAAATGAATAGTAATATTATGAATCTCTAGATTAAATTAGTTTTTTTTTAAAATTATAAACAAGGTAGTTATTGTTTGTAGCATTTGCACACACAACCATGGTACTCGATAATTTAATCACCGAAATATATTAAAACCCATAATTTTGGTTTTCAGAGGAGAGTAAGGCAGTTTTTTCTTTCTTTCAGATTTTGATTTGAAATTTGCAGAAACTCAGATTTACCTCTTCGCAAAACCTCGCCATTGTTGCTCATTCTCAATCTCCATACCCTCTGTCTCGATTAGGGTTTTGAAGAAGATCATTTCGCAAGTTCCTGTGGTCGAATTCGATCGATGTCCGCATCAACGGTGTCAATCACTGCCCACACGGCGGCGACCGCTCGCCGGACGCCGGTTGTCGCCCGGGGTAAGAAGTCCAACCACGATTTTCCGGAGAGAGAATCCGTAGCAAATGCTGGAGTCCGGGAAACCGCTGGTTCGAGCGGGGATCTGATCCGAGCCGAGGCCTTTGTGGAGAGATCTCCGAGCAACTCGGTGCCGGTGGTCAGGAAGACGGACTCTGCCGCTACGGGGACCAATGTCGCCGCTGCGCAGCGGCGGACGCGCAAGGGTGCGGCGCCGAAGCCGCCGGAGAAGACCCGGGGGAAGAGAGTGGTGAGGGTCTTCGCGAAGCAGCTTGCGGCTCTTTTGCTACTTGCCGGGTTGATTCAATTGACCAGGAAGGTGATTCTGGGAGCTGGAAATTCTCCGTCTTCTTCCATTGGGTCAGAAATCGTATTATCGGAATTGGAGGCCCGAATTGCGGATGTGGATGGGTTCGTGAAGACTGCAACAAAGATGATTCAGGTTCAGGTGGAAATTCTCGACAAGAAGGTGGATAGCGAGGCAAAGACATTGAGGCAGACGATCGATGAATCAAATTCAGCGTTGCAGACTGAGTTGGATAGGATAGATTCTAGGAGCGAGAGGTTAGAGAAGTCAGTTCATGAACTAAATGGTCAAACCTGGGTGTCCAAGGATGAAATGGAGAGGATTTACGAGGAACTGAAGAAGGGTAAGGATGATGAATCTGCTGATAGTGACATAAACCTCGATGAACTGAGGGCTTATGCTCGGGAATTAGTGGAGAAAGAGCTTGAAAAACATGCTGCAGATGGTCTTGGCCGAGTGGACTATGCCTTAGCGTCTGGTGGTGCTTTCGTGATGAAGCATTCAGACCCTTATCTGGTTGGAAAAGGGAGTAATTGGTTTGGAACTAACCGGGTCCATAGCAATGCCATTAAAATGCTATCTCCTAGTTTAGGAGAGCCGGGGCAGTGTTTCCCTTTGAAAGGAAGCAATGGCTATGTTCAAGTCAAGCTAAGGGCACCGATCATGCCAGAGGCTATCACGTTGGAGCATGTTGCTAAGGTAATGCTGGCATCTTATACTCTACTTGCACTGCAAATTATATATAATACCAATATAGTTAGTCTCAGTGTGCTCCCGAAAATATGAGGAGCTTTAATTCCAATCATATGGAGTATATAGAATTATAGACCACGGAAAAGTCTGTAACTCGAATCTGCAGAAAATACTATGATATTGAGATTTTGATTAGAGCTGTAGAAATATGCATTGAAGAGGACCTATTCAATTTCCTACTCTACTTTAGGATGTCGAGCCGTGTTTTTTTTGTTAAGAAACTTATCTGATCTCTGTCCTTCCTTTTTTTCTGGGCATGGATTGTTCTCTCATGGAGTAGTTATTTCAATTATCATTTAAGTTAGATCATCAAATTAGGATCTTTTAGCAGTTTCTAGTAAGACCCTATAGTGATAGATCCCCCTCCCTTTATCAGAGAATACAATAGCAGGTCAGCTTCCAATGACTTGTTCATCTTTTCCCTCTGCTTGCAACGAGCAAAATCATGATGTTGATAGTTTTCAGATTTCTTTCTTTAAAGATGGTAACGTATTGATTGCCAGATAGTCTCATTGCTCACAGAACTGGATCATTCGTGACTAATCCCGAAGAGAAAGATCACTACTCTGTATATTTGTTGATTTTCTTCTTTAGTTGTTTATGCAAAACCCCGCTAATTGTTTTCCATTCGTGAAACTATCCAGAGTGTTGCTTATGACAGGTCGAGTGCTCCCAAGGACTGCCGGGTAATGGGATGGTTCCAAGGTCAGGACATGGAGCCTGCAGCTGAAACCGAGAAGATGTTCCTTCTGACAGAGTTCACTTATGACTTAGACAAGTCGAACGCTCAGACATTCGAGGTTGTGGACTCGGCTCGTTCGGGCATTATTGATACTGTCAGACTGGACTTCAAGTCCAACCACGGAAACGCATTCCACACTTGCATCTACCGGTTCAGAGTCCACGGCCGTGAAACAGAGGGCGTCTCCTTCTCGCCAACGAGGGTCTGGGCTTGATTACAAAAACTCTCCAGGTACCCTTTTGTAACATTCTTTCCATCTACCTCTCTCTCTGTTTTGAATTATCGATTCTGTGATTACCTTTCTTGTTTTTTGATGGGATTAGGCAACACAAACGAGTTTCTTTTTATAAATTGCCCAAATTTATTGAAACTAGAGACATTCATAAGGTCTCTACGCAATCCATGCCTATATGTTCATGATGATATATAACTTTTTGTGAAAATTATTTCATTTTTTTTCTCTCTAAATGGAAAAAAAACGGGAACAAGGAAAAAGTCATTGGAAGCTGACCTTCTGTTCTTGTACTTCATATGTATATCACTAGGGTTTTATCTAATCTGCATTTAAATAGACATTGAAATTGAATGTCCAAAGGGTTTAGCATTTTGATTGGGAAGATCTAATCCAATCTAATCTAAACCTACTGTGTGTAATATGACACACACACACACATATATATATATATATATATATATATATATATATATATATATGTTTTGTTATAACATAACACCAAATGCTCTTCCTCCACCTTCATTTTATGGGTCAAGACATATATAACCTCAGATGACTTGGAAATCAGTCTTTCACCAGTTAGTTCATAACTCGGCATGGTTTCTTCTACTTTGGCTGCCGTCCACGCTACAAGACAATCCATTCTTTTATAACATTCATCATTCTTCTTTCTCAAACCACATATTTTAGCAACCCAACGGGGTATTATAATATAATGGATAAAACACCTAATCATAGATCATGCTCATATACCCATTTTTTTAGTATAAAAAAAAATTGACATGTTTATCCAAAAATCGTATATCCATCAACAATGGATTTCAAAATCTAAAAAATCCGAGTCTTTCAGGTATTCGCATCATGTCTATGCTAATGGATATCATTCATTCGTTGAAAATACTTAATTTTCATTTAGATCGTTAAAATACACATAATCATCCTTCTAACCAATATTAAATAATCCTTTTAACCAACATTAAATAAAAGAACCCAACTTGAGGACTCGGTTATAATGGGTTGTTGTCTCAAATAAAGAAAGTATGGTTTGATGTCTCCGGCGGCGGCTGTGGACTTTGAGGAGCTGAGAAATGGTGGACTCAGCCAAAATAAAAAAAATAAAAAAAAAAAGACAAAATCATCGGAGCAAAATTTGTAAATATTTAAAGACAATCTGACCGCAAGAGTCGGAGAGAGGGAGAAGAACGCGTTTCCCACGGGTCACTACTCTTCTTCATCTTCCTCCGACCCATTAATCTATTACATATCTCCCCACTAGTTTATGCAAGTGTCGTGCTATTAAACTATCCCTCTCTGTGTTTTCTCTCCCCTTTCTTCCCCACCCAGATCTCTTCCCTCTTCTTTTCTGGTTATTTTTGGGGGATTTCTCGTTCTGGGTTTACTTCATTGCTTCGCTCTCTTCCCGGTTTTCGTTTCAAGTTTCGATTTTGCTGATACCCTTTTGATCTTTTCGCCTGTCTGCTGGATAAGTTCTCACCAGTCTTCTTCGTTTTGCTCTGTATTGGATTTACTGCTGCTGCTCCTTGTTGTCGGATCCTGGAAGATTGACCTTTGGCTTTCTGTTTTAGCCTTTTGATTTTGTCGCGGAAGGCTCGTTGGTTGCTTGTACTGATTCAGCCAACCTTCTTCGGAGTTGAAATCCTTCATCTGATTTCCGAAAGTTCCATAATTGATGCCTGATGTTGTCCGAGAACTAAGCCCTAGGATAGAAAGTCTTTGACTTTACTTGTAGTGTGGTGGTTGGCCTTAAGAATTCAGATGCGGTCACTGCGTTTGTCTTTCGCTCTTTTGATCAGATCTTGATGTAGAGATATTATCCGATGCATTTCTGGTAAAGGGATTGAGAGAGAGGTAGGGATTATCAGATGGGGAATACTTGTGTAGGACCAAGCATTACTGGAAATGGAGGGTTTTTGCAATCAGTTTCCGCAGCAATGTGGCGGCCTCGAATGGGGGATGATTCCATGTCCCAGACTAATGGGGAATCCGCCATTGAAGCAACTTCAGGGGAGCTTAGATCTCCGTTACCTGCAGTGCAAGATAAACCCCCTGAACAGCTCACAATGCCTAAGCCAGAGACTAACACCGAAACGAAACCAAATCCTGAACCAGAGATCCAACCCGAGAGCAAAACAGAATCCCAACCAGAGACGAACTCGGAGACCAAACCTGAAACTAAACCAGAAGCCAAGCCAGAAGCCAAACCCGATACCCCGGCTAAACCGAAGAAGCCTAAACATATGAAGAGAGTGTCCAGTGCTGGGCTTAGGACCGAGTCTGTATTGCAGAGGAAGACTGAAAACTTTAAGGAATTCTATTCCTTGGGAAGGAAACTTGGACAAGGGCAGTTCGGGACAACGTTTTTGTGCGTGGAGAAGGCTACAGGGAAAGAAGATCGAGAGAGACGGCCATCTGTTCGCCGCCTTTTCATACTTTGACAAAGATGGGAGTGGTTATATAACGGCCGACGAGCTCCAGCAAGCTTGTGAGGAGTTTGGCGTGGAAGATTTCCGCATAGAAGAAATGATACGTGACGTCGATCAGGACAGCGTAAGATCTTGTCTCCCTTACATGATCATACAATCTAACATAATAGTGCCTGCCGTTATACAATTGAACTTAAAAAGGTTAGAACTTTGTATGTTTTGGATTGAATCCAAACCAATTAGGGTTCAGATTTTCTGTCTCGGATCCATCGCCTGAAGGATTTCTGGAACTTAAGAGAGAAACTGCACATTTCTGCAGAGAATTCTCCTGGCCTCTCTCTCATGGGGACTTGAGTGATTCAACTGTCCCGAAAATTCGGGTGCCGACTTGACTTGTATGTCGGGTATTCAAGCAATATATGAGATGAGATCGGATTATAACATGAAGAAAACCCGAAAATCTGAAAATTTTGAGACCAGATGATTTATAGTTTGGAAAATTTTCGGGTTTAAGTACCCAAGTATTATCCAAGCATCCAAACTTTGGATATGCGACCAAAATGGATCCGAGACCGCTAAAATTTCGAGATGTCCGAAACGTTCGGATTCGGATAACCCAAAAAACCTCGGATACCGGCGAGTTCTCACCCCTGTTATGGGGAATATGTCCATAACTCTTTGAAATTCATATGAATAAACCGATATCTTTAAAACGTTGGTTCGTGGTTGCAGGACGGGCGGATTGATTACAACGAGTTTGTGGCGATGATGCAGAAAGGTACGATCACCGGAGGAGGGCCGCCGGGGAAGAAGGGTCTAGAAACTAGCTTTAGCATTGCTCTGAAACACTAGTTTCTGTTTTTTTTATATAAGAAAAAGGCAGAGGAGATCATAATCATATAATTGCATAGCCATTTCTCTGTTTTTTTTGTACCTCTAAAAAAAAGTTTCAATCTTTGGATGAGATTGTGTTCCAGAAAGAGTATGCCTGCAAATCAATTGCTAAGAGGAAGTTGTTAACAGAAGAGGATGTGGAGGATGTTAGAAGGGAGATTCAGATAATGCATCACTTGGCCGGTAACCCAAATGTTATATCCATCAAAGGGGCTTACGAAGATGCTCTGGCAGTACATCTTGTGATGGAGCTGTGTGCAGGAGGTGAACTTTTCGATAGGATAATTCAACGTGGGCATTATACCGAGAGGAAAGCAGCCGAGCTAACACGAACCATAGTTGGGGTTGTGGAAGCTTGTCATTCTCTCGGTGTCATGCATCGAGACCTGAAGCCCGAGAATTTCCTGTTCGTTAGTAAAGAGGAAGACTCCCTTTTGAAGACGATTGACTTTGGACTGTCAATGTTCTTTAAGCCCGGTATTCCATTTACTGTTATGGATCCTTTACTATCTTAGGATATGAGAAAGATTCAAGCTTTTTGCATTTTTGTCGGGTTTTGAGATTCAATTCCTTCATTTGCAGGCGAGATTTTCAACGACGTAGTTGGCAGCCCATATTATGTAGCTCCAGAGGTTCTTCGAAAGCGTTATGGTCCTGAAGCAGATGTATGGAGTGCCGGTGTGATTGTTTACATTTTATTAAGCGGAGTTCCCCCCTTCTGGGCTGGTACGAAATTGTAGATTCCGATAAACTCGTATCTGTTACTTGTTTATTATATCTGGCTCTGACCGAAATCTTTGTTTCTTCGAGTATCCAGAAACCGAGCAAGGAATCTTCGAACAGGTCCTCCATGGAGATCTTGACTTCACCTCCGATCCATGGCCAAGCATCTCCGAAAGTGCAAAGGACTTAGTGAGGAAAATGCTCGTTCGAAGCCCCAAGAAAAGATTAACAGCACACCAAGTCTTATGTAAGTCATTTCGATCTGAAATTTTCGGCTTTTATACTTAAGGACTGTTTTCTCAGAGCTTTTTCACCATTTTCTTGGTTTGGTTCTGAAGAAGTTTCGGTTTTTTGAACAGGTCATCCATGGGTACAAGTCGATGGTACGGCTCCAGACAAACCTCTCGATTCCGCTGTTCTGAGTCGAATGAAGCAATTTTCTGCCATGAACAAGTTCAAGAAGATGGCTCTTAGGGTAAGTGAATCATTTGAAGACAATGATCCATCCACAAATCTAAAGCCTTATGAGTGAAACCCACATCAAGAAAAGTGAACAACACTGTAAAGTTTCGGGTTTTTCTTTCTTTCTTTAAGGTCATAGCCGAGAGCTTGTCCGAGGAGGAGATAGCTGGCTTGAAAGAAATGTTCAATATGATAGACACCGACAATAGCGGTCAGATAACTTTCGAGGAACTGAAAGCAGGACTGAAACGGGTCGGGGCCAACCTCAAAGAACACGAAATTCTTGACCTAATGCAAGCTGTAAGCGTTAAACCCATTTGCTTCCATATTCATAAATCTCTTTCCTTTACTCAAGATTTTTGCAGTAATTTGCCAATTGTCTGCCATGTTTTAGGCTGATGTAGACAACAGTGGAACAATAGACTACAAGGAGTTCATAGCTGCTACATTGCATCTGAACAAGATCGAGAGAGACGGCCATCTGTTCGCCGCCTTTTCATACTTTGACAAAGATGGGAGTGGTTATATAACGGCCGACGAGCTCCAGCAAGCTTGTGAGGAGTTTGGCGTGGAAGATTTCCGCATAGAAGAAATGATACGTGACGTCGATCAGGACAGCGTAAGATCTTGTCTCCCTTACATGATCATACAATCTAACATAATAGTGCCTGCCGTTATACAATTGAACTTAAAAAGGTTAGAACTTTGTATGTTTTGGATTGAATCCAAACCAATTAGGGTTCAGATTTTCTGTCTCGGATCCATCGCCTGAAGGATTTCTGGAACTTAAGAGAGAAACTGCACATTTCTGCAGAGAATTCTCCTGGCCTCTCTCTCATGGGGACTTGAGTGATTCAACTGTCCCGAAAATTCGGGTGCCGACTTGACTTGTATGTCGGGTATTCAAGCAATATATGAGATGAGATCGGATTATAACATGAAGAAAACCCGAAAATCTGAAAATTTTGAGACCAGATGATTTATAGTTTGGAAAATTTTCGGGTTTAAGTACCCAAGTATTATCCAAGCATCCAAACTTTGGATATGCGACCAAAATGGATCCGAGACCGCTAAAATTTCGAGATGTCCGAAACGTTCGGATTCGGATAACCCAAAAAACCTCGGATACCGGCGAGTTCTCACCCCTGTTATGGGGAATATGTCCATAACTCTTTGAAATTCATATGAATAAACCGATATCTTTAAAACGTTGGTTCGTGGTTGCAGGACGGGCGGATTGATTACAACGAGTTTGTGGCGATGATGCAGAAAGGTACGATCACCGGAGGAGGGCCGCCGGGGAAGAAGGGTCTAGAAACTAGCTTTAGCATTGCTCTGAAACACTAGTTTCTGTTTTTTTTATATAAGAAAAAGGCAGAGGAGATCATAATCATATAATTGCATAGCCATTTCTCTGTTTTTTTTGTACCTCTAAAAAAAAGTTTCAATCTTTGGATGAGATTGTGTTCCAGAACTTGTTTTGGCAACTGGTCTTTGTGGTATTCTTACAGCCTTAAACTATCTGTTAAAATGTTTTTACTATTAAACAACCGATTGGGAAATTATTTTTTCTATAAATGATTTATTCCCATTTTTTCCATTCTTTTTTATCAAGTTTGAAGGTATAATAGTTGGATATTTTGAGCTTTTTTTGGTTATTTTTAAAAACATTTATTAGTTTCATTTTTAAAAAACATTTTTTCTATAAATGAAATTATTTTTTCTATGGTTTTATTTTTAAAAACATTTACTTTATAAAAAAACCTTTTTTTCTATTCTATTTTTTTATTAGTTTCATATTACATATCCACAAAAAATTAATAAATTTGATTTAGAAAATTATATCTAAGCGTTAATTATATTTTATTTCATTTGATTTAATTTTACATATCTGAACTGTTATTTTATAAATATTTTTTCTATGTCCAAAATGTTGAAAACAGATTTTAAATTTTTATTCTTAAAAGTTAAATATTTGTTGTGGGGTTTGTAACGTTACTAACTTATAAATGGAAATTTAATGTTGACATCTAATCTTAACTAAAAAAAAATTGCTATGTACATTCAGTTTCACACTAACGGGCCCATATTGCCGCAAGTGGGAAGTAGGGCCCATTACGTACCCAGCCCACAATTATCATTCTAAATTCACTGCACGCACTGATATTCCATTATAACAGCCTACTCTCCAGCGTCAGATCATTAGAATCATGACGTCATCATATACGAAGCTTTGATCGGACGGTTTTAAGTCGCCTGTCGTGATTCTCCACGTGACGGTCTTTCTCGAGGTTTTGTAGGGTATAGTGAATTACGAATATACCCTTATGGAGGTGCTTCGCTTCACGCTCCACTCATTTTTTTTTTGGTACCCTACGAATTTTTTCCCCTCTGTTTGTTTATGTGCGCGCAAATTGGAAGAAAAACCCTAATTCCCCAAATTTCTGGTTTCCCTCATTTCTGAATTAGGTTTCCGATTCTTCCTTCTTTCTGAAGGTTTGTGAAAGCCCTAGATTCGGTCTGCTCTCCATCAACCCAATGGCGTCTTCGGCTCGGGGAGAGAACAGCAATCCTTATGACGGCGGATTGGGAGCCGGTGGGAAGTTCCGGAAGCGGCCGTTTCGGAGGTCTCAGACGACACCGTATGATCGGCCACCGACTTCGGTGAGGATCCCTGGCCTTGGCGGTGGAGAAGGCAGTGAAAATGGCAACGGCGGCGGATGGATATCGAAATTGATGGATCCAGCGCAGAGGCTTATTACTTATAGCGCCCATAGGCTCTTCGCTTCGGTTTTCCGAAAACGCCTTCCACGAGCAGAGGCTCCTTTGCAACCGGAGCAGCAGGTGCCGGAAAATGGTATGGGATTTGTTGTTTTGTCAATAGAAAGGCTGTTTCTTTGGTCTATTTATTAGCTCGTAGTCAGACCTTTTTCTTGGTTTGTAGTCTTTTAGCTTTTAACTCGTCATTTTTTCGTCAAGTATGTTAACAAGACGAAATATTGGATGTTGGGATGCTTAATATTTTCTTGAACGCTTAAAATGTACTTTGGCTAGTGAGTAGCAAGCTTTAGCGTATTATATTTATGATTGAGGCTTCAGTGGCAGCTGGTTATTGATTTTGTGGTTTTAATAGTAGTTCGTGCATTTTGTGTTTCGGAATCTTTCACCTTACCTGCATTAATGTTATTAAGGTGCCTTGTTTATTTTTTCATGGACCAGAAGTGAACCAGGAGACAGAGAGAGGTGAATCAAAGGGCGTCCATTCTGTAAGTACATGCGATGCATTTGTCCTTATATGTTTTCTTTTATGCAGACGGGTTTCCTTAGTGTTTCTTTCTTTGATATATATTCTGAAACTTATTTACGTGGTATATGAGAAGTTGTCCATGAAGAATAACATGATCCAAGTGGAAGATACCAGTGCATCTGTTGATCAAAGCATTATGACGATCAAGGATGGTTTTACAGATCTTGAGCAAATTTTGAAGCAGAAAACTTTTACAAGGTATACAGTCTTTCAAGTGTTGCGTTGTTGAATATAACCAAGTAGATTATGTATCTTTTTCTCCTAGAGGGCACAAAAACTTCATTTATCACGCGTGTTACTGTTAACCAGAAAAACAGAATTGCAGAATACCAAGACCCAAATTGATTGTGTTTTGTGCTTCTTTTTGTAGTTGTTGTCTTATTCTTTGCTATATTTCCTCTCTCAGATTATGTTTTCACGCTTTTTTGTCCCTTTGATTATTCCACAGATCTGAAATTGATCGATTAACTACATTGCTGCGTTCAAAAGCTGTCGAATCATCCACTGGAAAGCAGGAACAGAGAGCTCAGGAGGTTAATGTTAAATCATTGGTATCACATGACAGGGACCAGGGACATACACATACTATCTCTATGGATAATGGGAATCAGAACAATTTTGTTTCAACACCTCTTGTCAGTTCAAGGGTAAGAAAGTTACTTTTTTCCCTTCATTATCAGTAGTTTTTTTGAGAACTTCATCTGAATGTAGTTGATGCATGAGTATCATGTCTGAAGCTGATTTTTATCCATGGCGGTGTTATTAATCTTTAACTTTCATTCTAACCTTCTCAGGTTGTTGATGAGTGCATTGCTTCACCTGCGGAACTTGCGAAAGCCTACATGGGTAGCAGACCTTCAGAAGTATCTCCTTCAATGTTGGGATTACGTGGTCAAGTAGACAGAGAAGATTCTGTTTTCCTGACTAAAAACCCGTTTCCCTCAAAGTCGCCTACGATGTCAATTGTGCCAAGGTCTTCTGGGAAAAATTTACTTCCTGATAATGGTTTTGTTACCCCAAGATCTCGAGGTAGATCTGCAGTTTATTGTATGGCTAGGACACCATATTCTAGGCCTCAGTCCACTACAAAGGTCTTTACTTTGTTCCACACTTAGTTTTATTGTTGCGTTGCAACTCGCTTTCAGTTTCACGATGGTGTGTATCTCCAGGTTGGCTTACTTTTGCCTGCATCTCAGAATACATGGGAAGAAAGTGTACCATCTGGATCTAGACAAGGGATTCAAACGGTAATTTTCTTGAATTAAGCACCAAAATGATATCGTGGTTAGACATGCCTTTAAAACAAAATATTTCATATGAACTTTTTACCTTTGGTAGAGTCTCAAACGGAGGAGCTCAGTCTTAGACAATGATATGGGATCTGTGGGCCCTGTTAGGAGGATCCGGCAGAAATCTAACCTCCTGTCAAGGAGCTTGGCTTTACCTGCTTCAGGCTCTCAACATGTTTCTCCATCATACCAACGAGGTGGACCTAATTTTATACATACGTCTAGAGAAAGTGCTGTGGATATTCCAGGTTCAAGTTCCAATCCTGTTCCGTCCAAGTCCAGTGAGATGGCTTCAAAAATATTGCAGCAACTTGATAAGTTGGTCTCTACAAGGGAGAAAACACCAACCAAGTTATCACCATCCATGCTACGTGGGCCGGCTCTTAAAAGCCTCCAGCATGTGGAGGCTCCGAAGTTCTTGGAGAACCAAGAAGAGAAGTTGGGAGACTTGCCCAGTTCTAGTTACCAAAAGGAGGACAGACATAAAGAGAGTGGCTCACAAGAGGGTTTGGCTCTGTCTGAGAAGCCTGTCACTGCTGTCAATACCATAACTAAAACAGCTTCAAAAAAAGATCAGGATGCTGGTGTTAAAGGCACTTATTTGCCAGCCACAAATTCTGTGGAAGAGCACCCTCCAAAGAAGAGAGCATTTCGGATGAGTGCTCATGAGGTAGCTATCAATTGTTAAGTTCTTTTTTAATAGCTTCTTCTACAGCCGCCTTGTCATATCTGGTTCGTTAGTGACCTAGCTATGAATTGCTTCGCCACTTAGGTAACTGCATCTCCCATAAACAATCTGTAGACTTTAGTAAAGACTTTTTTTTTCCAGTGCCTTTTACCCTTTTCCAGGGGAAAATGATGCTATTTTCTCATCATGATAGGTCATCATAATAGCTTACCTTTGAAAATTCGTGTTTGCCTTTTGTGTACCTTCCGTTGTAAATATATTTTGTATTTTGGAACATCTCCCAATAACTTTACATACGGGATCAAACTTTTTCATTGTTAAATAACGCAGGATCTCGTGGAGTTGGATGATGATCATGATGCTGCATCTATTCCTCCAGTTGAAGTAATAGAAAAAACAGATGCCTCAAAATTGGAGAATGACACTGGTATCAGCAAGGCCAAAGGGGAGAAACCATTTGCTTCTTCTGATGTCAAGCCCTCGGCAGCATATGTTTCCAACGGTAATTCTTCATACAGTACCTCTAATGGTACCGTGGAAACTGGAAAGAGCACTGAGATTAGGTTCGCTGCATTTGGCGGTGAAGCTGTTCAGCAAGGTAACGTGGGCTCTGATTCAGTTTCGAAGTTTACTAAAGTTGCTGCAACACAGCTATCAAATAGTTCTACTGCTATATTTAGCACAGTGGATAAAATTGACTCTCTGAAAGAATCTAGCAAAGTTCCTCCAAGTATGCCCAATGTCTTCTTTTCACCAGTTGCGACCAACCAATTGGATCAAAAGTCTGGTGCAGCTTCAAACATCAAGTCTGAAAAGCCGAGCAGGTTTGTATCTTAATTTCAGTTCACATCATCTCCGTAGGAACGATAATTTTTCATGGCTCCACCACTGACTCTGTTACTTTCATTTGCAGCTTTACTTTTGGAGCATCTGAGCCTTTGGCAAAGCTACCTGAGTCCGACAAAGTTGTCAGTAACAGTGCCTCGGGAGCTAGTTCAACTTTCTCAGGTGCATCAACAAATAGTGGTAGCATATTTTCATTTGGAGTTCCAACTCCGAATAATGGCGGTCCTGCTTCAAGTCCTCTTTTCACCCCTAAGATTTCGGATCTATCTTCTACAAGTTCCATCAGTCAGTTGGCTAGTGCTGTACAATCTTTTGCTTCCACCCCTTCTACAACCAGCTTATTTGGAAACTTGCCCGCTACTACCAGCAAAGACAGCAACTCTGGAAGCATATCAGTATCAACTTCAGTTCCCAGCTTTTCTACTGCACCACCTTTCAAGTTTGGGGAATCTGCAGCTTCAGTGGTAACATCGACAGTTTCTTTATCCACCGATAAGGTTCCCAAGGAAACCAGTGTCAAAGAATCGGCATTTGGAAATTTAACCAGCGTTCAGTCTGGTGGTACAGCTTCAACAGTTTCGAGCACTGGAAGTGCTTTCGCTGATCAATCCTCAGCTATCAAAAGTGCACCAAGTTTCAGTTTTGCCAGCTCTTCTCCTGTCGTCGCCGATGCTGGTAGTAATATCTTTGGTGGGTCGTCTGCCGCTGTCGGTGGAAACACTTCAAATACTTCTATCGCCGCATCTCCTGCTACCGTCAGTGGAGGAACTACTAGCATATTTGGTGTGACTCCTTCCCCAACCTCAGCGACAGGAACCGGCATCTTTTCGGGCAGTTCTGCATCAACCACTACCAGTAGCATTTTCGGTATCTCTCCTGCATTAACGAGCTCTGGTCGTATCGTATTTGGTTTCACCGCCGGTTCAGGAGCTTCTGCTGTTGGCTCTCAATCTCAGACCTCGAGTCTTTTTGGTGCGGGGAATTCTCAAACAGGAACCACTAGTTCAACTCCAACCGCCCCATTTCAGTTTGGTTCATCTGCATCAGCTCCTGCGTCTGGGAACACCTCTACCGCATCTAGCAGTTATCCGTTCGGATCTTCAACCTCGGGACCTCTGTTATTTGGCACAAGCTCAACCTCACTGCTTGGTTCGTCGCCTTCACTGGCAAACTCTGCCAGCTCCAGTAGTACTAGTACTACAACCTCTACCTTATTTGGTTCAAACTGGCAGCCCTCCAATTCCTCCACTTCCGTGTTTGGTTCCTCGTTCAACTCCTCTTCAGCGCCCACCTTGTCGTTTGGAGGATCCTCTGGTTCAGCCATCGGTTCAACCACCACAACTCCTATCTTCGGATCATCCGCCAATTCCAGTGCACCATCATCTTCATCTATTGTTAGTTTCAACTCAGCCCCTGCAGCCACTCCATCACAGCCAGTTTTCGGCGGCTCAGCCACCGGGTTCACATTTGGTGCCGCCACCCCACCAACTACAAACGGCAGCAACAATGACCAGATGAGCATGGAAGACAGTATGGCCGAGGACACAGACCAAACGAAAGCATCGGCGGTTCCTCCGATGTTTGGCCAACCAGTCGTTGTCCCACCATCCCAACCAACCTTTGCGTTCGGGGCGGGAGCTGCGGCCACAGCCATTCCGAATGGGGGAAGTCCGTTCCAGTTCGGAAGCCAACAGAGCGTAGGGGGGCAGCAGAACCCGTCACCTTTCCAGACGACCTCGAGCAATATCGAGTTCAGCGGAGGTGGAGGGAGTTTCTCGTTGGGAAGCACAGGCGGAGGCGACAAATCCGGCAGGAAATTCATCAGAGTGAACAAGAACAGGCGACAGAAGAAATAGGTACAACAGAAAAAAACCCTGAGAACCCAGATTGTGTATTAGCTGGAGAGAGAGAGAGAGAGAGAGAGAGGCCGTGTCGTTTGTGTGTGTGTGTTTTCTGCTTGTGGTATCTTGATGGGAGCAGATTATTATGTTGGGAATATGCATCTTTTCATGGATAAGTTTGTAGGGAAGTTTTGTAATTTCTCCAAAAGCATTGTGGAAAACAACACCATACACAACTGTTACTGCACTTCGTTGCTCTTTTATTGTAACATTGAGGAACCAGACCAGTCTCTGTCTTCGTCCCATCTGGTGATATTTCACCTTCAAACGAAGTGTTACTATTTTCAGCAATGGATTTGGATATATGGAGGGATATGAAAGTGGGTCTAACACTATTGATGACGTTTTTCTATTGAAAGAGGAATAAATTCAAAAAGCGTGCGTGAGAGAGAGAGACGTGATTACCACTAATTGTGGTGGTGGTGATGCTGTTTAATTATTCCTTCGGGGAACGAATATCCCCACTGAAAATATCGTCACCTTTATTTGTCCCAACACCAACCAAGAGACCAAACTTACCACGTATCATTCATTTGTCTTCTCCCATTTACATGCGAACACAAATACGCTATCACACGACACTTTTATTATATTTAAAAACAATAATCTAATTGAAAAACAAAATAAATATGTGGTTGAATTGATAAACAATCGATATAAAATTATAATAAATATCATTCAAAAAATGAAACTAATGAAACGAAAATGTAAGTCATAAACTAAGATGTCAATCTTAGCAACTTACTCGAACCTACAACATAATACTTTGACCATTTATTCAAATAACAATTTTAAAATCATGATTTGTTTGAATTTATCCGTTTAATGGATGGATAAATACAATCTCTCTAACATTCCAAAAAAAAAAAAGCAGTAGAATTTCACAAACACCTACCAATGTCATCTTATAAAGTTTTAATTTTTCTTTTTTCATTCACATCAATCTGAAAATAAAAAGAAAAGAAAAGAAAAGCAGATGATGAGAAAATGATTTGAAATTGAGCATATAAAATTTAAAGACACAAACAAGTTAGGAGTTAGGGCATTACCTAACAACTTCTTCTTTAAAGTTAAACTCTTAGAGCTTTATCCTTCACATAAAAATCGGATAATTTTTTTTTTCTATAACAGATAAAATATATTTAACAAGACCCATAAGTCTTATTAAAGATAATAAAAAAAAGAATTTAAATCGGCTGAAAATTGAATATGTTACAAGTTATCCGTTGAGATAATTTTGCATTCAATTTCATATTTAGATATTTTGTGTTTTTTTAAAAAAATATATATATTTAGTTTTTATATTAGATATTAGTTCGGTTAAAACTTTATTTGCATTTGTTTTGCACTTAATTTTTATTTAAACAGATATTAAAAATACTTTAATTTAATTTAAAAATTATATTCAACTATTTTCAAATTAGTTTTAGGTTAAATATGATTTATTTTGGTTAGATTGTATATATCCCTATTTCACCCCTATATACCAATCCAAATGATTTCCGTTCACACACAAACTGTATAGTTGTTGGTAATAATAATTAAAAAACAAATAGATAAAGAATTTCAGAGGAGAGATTATATTAATGGAAGCTTCAAGCTATGAGTATAGCCAATGGTTCTTAATGTCAATCAAAACCATAATTGCGCATTTGTGGTCTTCTTCTTCTCTTCTTGAATCGGGGCCGTCAGTGGGTGGCTGCAATTTAAAGAACTACAAAAGAATCGTTGAAAAAAAAAATGTATTTTAAAATTAACTATTCATAATATTATTAGAAATTCACCAAAAAAAAAATCCTGTATTAATAAAATATTAGTTCCCTAATATGTTAACATAAGCCTTGATTGTGTTGAAAGATTGGGGGTGGATACATTTTTTTTTGTCCAAATTTGTATTTATGGAGTTTTCATTCAGTTCATGGAATTATATATATTTTTTCACAGAAAATAATGTTTTATAAAGGCTTTTTTTTAGTTAAATATCTTTCATCCTCTCTAGCAATAAATTACGTAAATATTATATATTAACAGTAAATCTCAATAGATAAGAATCACAATAAATTAAATTACTGGATTTAGAAATGATCTGAACTAATTTTAACCATGAAATTCGGTGGCAGGATATATGAAACAGGGATTTAAAATCAAAGCGGATTGACATATTAAAAAAACATAACCTTCAATTTATATAAAAAATATATATTATATATATTGTCGGCATATTATATGTTTTAATAATGGTGTCTCATGTTGTTTGGTTCGACAGAAAAAGGGATGTTGTTTGGTTTTCAATTCTTATTATTTTATAATTATATTAAAATATTAAAAATTATTATTAGTGCTCTCTTTCTCTCTCTCTCTCTATATATATATATATCTGTCTCCTCGGGGGTTGACTCTGGAAAATCAAACGCGCGTTCCAGCTCAACACTGTCGTTCCCATACTCCCTCTCGCTCGCAAATTTCGAAATTTGTGCGTTTCAATCCTACCCTGTCCACCAAATCTGCCATGCCCACTTCGTAAAATTCAATCTTTTTGCTTCCGGAAATCTCGATTCTCTCGGCCCGTATATTCTTCTCCGTCGGGTTCCTCCTTGTTCGTTCTCGTCCCACCAAATTCTCTGTCCGATCGCACTCGGCTGGTGACATGGTGGTCAAGATGAGAATCATGCGGTGGCCGCCGTGGCCGCCGCTCTCCGCCGCGAAATTCGAGGTGATCGTCGCCGTTCATCGGATGGACGGTCTGGATACTGCTCGATTCGACGGCGATGAAGAGGGCTGTGGTGATCGGAGTCACCGGAGGCCGAGGAAGGGACCGGTGGTTGAGATCAAGTGGAAGGGACAGAAGACGGTGGCTCTGAAACGCTCCGTCGCCCGGAATTTCACCGGAGAAGGCGGTTGCGGAGGCGATGGCGTCGTCGAGTGGAATGAAGAGTTCACGAGGCTCTGTGAATTTTCTGTCTACAAGGAAGGTTTGTTTCTGCCATGGGAGGTCATTCTCACCGTCTTCAATGTAATCTCTCTCTCTCTCTCTCGACTATGATTGTCGTAGATGTCTGGTTTGAGTACTGTCTTCTAGATTGGTTGTGAATTTGTGAATCATGCGGCTTTGGTTGTTTTTTGTATGTTCATATTTCATGTATTTCTTCTTAGAATGACCAAAATCTCTGCATTGATTCGTTTTGGAGAATACATATAACTTTGACCCATGATCTAGATGAGAAATTCCTAATGGTTTCTCGATAAGACACTAACCAACATGAAGATGAATTACTTGGCTTATACTGTAGTCTTTTGATGTTCTTCATCCAACTATCATGTCCGAGATCTGTCACGTGTTTAAACGTATGTGTTCTGATGTTTTTGATGATGATCATGTAGGGGACTAGTCAAGTATCAAAGGATAAAGTTCCTATCATTGGAAAGGCATCTCTGAATATTGCAGAATTATGTTCGCCTTTTCAAGAAGACGATGTTCAAGTCAAACTCCCTCTCAAGATCTCGGGCACGCCATCTGGGCTGAGTCCCTGCCTTCATGTGATTGACCGTTCCCATGAATTTGTCTGTTTATTCGTCTTCTGAACTCGTTCTTTTTCATTTCTCTTACACAAGTTTATCCCCTTTTGCAGATTTCGCTTCGGTTTATCCCTAAAGGAACATCTCCTGAAAGACAAAGGTCTGTTCTCCCTGTTCTGTGGTCTCCTTCTTCAGTGGAGGCTCCATCAAGTCAGAAACCCGAGTCTTCTGTAAAAGCAGGCCTGAGAAAGATGAAAACTTTCAACCACTGCATGTCAACCGGTTGGGGAGTGAAGAAAGAAAACGCGAGGGATGGAACCAGTGACAGCGAAAGCAAAAGCAAAAGCAAAAGCCCCGACAGAAATCTTTATAGCGAGTCTAGTGATCTCTTTACTACTGATTCTTTGGATGATGATGCTGAGGATGACTCGGAAGAAAGCAGAGAGGATGTGAGTGCTTTTGATCCAGTTAGCTACAAGACATTGCCGTATGCCAATTGGGCTAGAGGGTCGTTTCACTCCGGTATAAACCCGGAAGACGAGGATTTGATTTACTACAGCCATCGAAGGTCAGAAAACGGGCATTCTCATGACGAGAATTCAACCGATACAGCCGGCTCTGAGCAGTTGTCATCTGGGCAACTGTCGAAGAAGAGAATGTTATCATGGAAGAAGAGAAAACTTAGCTTCAGATCACCCAAACGCAAAGGTGAACTTCTTCTCAAGAAGGATTGTCGTGAAGAAGGTGGTGATGATATCGACTTTGATAGAAGACAACTAAACTCATCCGATGAGTCCATCTCAGAGGTAATGCAGTTGACAACAACAGAAACAACAGCAACCAGATCTTGCTTTGTCTGAATTTTCCCGGTTTCATTTCATCTCTTCTAACTTTCAACCGATTTTCTTGCAGTGGTACAAATCCAACGGTTCCATAACAAAGCCGTCATCTGAGTCTGAGTTTGGAGACGAAAACTTTGTTGTTGGAAGCTGGGAGACGAAAGGAATCATAAGCCGTGATGGGATGATGAAACTCATGGCTCGAGTGTTTTTTGCTTCGATTGATCAACGAAGTGAGAGGGCGGCTGGAGAGAGCGCGTGCACGGCCTTGGTTGCGGTCATAGCACATTGGTTGCAATCCAACAAAGATGTGATGCCGACGAAGTCAGAATTCGATAGCCTCATCAGAGAAGGGTCATCCGAATGGAGAAATCTATGCGAGAATGAGGAGTACCGGGAACGTTTCCCGGATAAACATTTCGACCTCGACACTGTCCTCCAGGCCAAAATTCGACCCATCTGCGTAATCCCAGAAAAATCATTCATCGGGTTCTTCCATCCCGAGAAATCGGACGAAGAAGGAGAAGGAGAAGGAGAAGGAGAGGTGGGTCTAGACTTTCTTCATGGTGTGATGTCCTTCGACAGTATCTGGGAAGAGATAATCAAGAAAGAGCAAGATTCAACGACCGGAAACGAACCCGTCGTCTACATAGTGAGCTGGAATGACCATTTCTTCATCCTTCTCATAGACAAGGACGCTTATTACATCATTGACACCCTCGGGGAGAGGCTGTACGAGGGCTGCAACCAAGCTTACGTCTTGAAATTCGACAAAGAGACAGAGATACAGAGATTACCAGACAAGGACAAGAACGCCAGCCCGTCAAACCAGAAACCCATCTGCAAGAACAAGTCGGAAACCCCAGAGAAACCAGCAGAATCATCATCATCGTCATCATCTTCGGAGGAAACCGAGCAAAGGGAAATCGTCTGCAGAGGTAAAGAATCGTGCAGAGAGTACATAAAGAGCTTCCTGGCCGCAATACCGATAAGGCAACTGAAAGCCGACATGAAGAAGGGGCTGGTCTCGTCGTTTCACCACCGTCTACAGATCGAGCTCCATTACACAGGAAACCTCCACCAACCCATGACTGAATCTTCAGACAAAGTTGAAACAGAGACAGCGGAAGCAGGAACAGTGACAGAAGCCATGTCTGAAGTTGCTGCTGCCGCTTCTGTACCTGTGGCCGTGGCTTGAAAATGGCAAACTTAAAGTTGAGATTTTTGTGGCTAAAATCTTTCGAGAGAATCTGTATAGGTTCAAGATGAAGGCGTTCTCTCGTGTGTGATTTGATTTTTTTTTTTTTGGCGTTTTGTGATGTAACCTTTGTCGGTGGCTAAGCTGTTAATAGTTTCCTTCTTTTGGTCCAATGATACGCATAACATAAGAAGATCAGTAACTGCTCTTTTTCCTTCCTTTTTTTTTATCATGTATAATATTATTAATGAAATATATTTCATGTTAAAATTTATAAATGTTCGACATTATTATACATTTTCCACCACATAACATTCAAAATAAATAAAGAAATTACCTATTTTCCTTTTTTTTTAACTTCTTTACAACATGTTTCACTTCATTCTATTAAAGGTGAGAAAAATTAGGATCTCTAAAAATAAATTTACCGTTTTACCGTTTAGCACATAATTCTGATTTAGATTGTAATTATATGAGTTCGAACAAAATTATAATGTAATTGTACAATGTATGTTTCATAAATTTAAATAGGAATAAGACACTTTAGCTGCTTTACATGCTAAGTAACAGAACCGACTCTTACTTGTATTACAAGAAACTCGGATATGATACGAAGTCATCGTCTCCTACATGTCCGACAAGAAACCCGAGTACGAAACCGAGTCATCATCATCTTCACCACTGTAACTCTCATCCCCCCTGCAATGCGCATCACCACCATCATCAGCATCATCCATTTCATCGCCAGATTCGGGATCGAGGCTGTGATGATGCGAATTCCAATCGGGTGGGAAAGTTTTCTGCATAATCTCAGTTAGCTCACCGCCTGATCTCTCAATCTTGTTCAGACACTTCGACCAGTGAACTGCAGTCCCCATGTCGACTATCAAACCTGCATCCACCATTTCCCTGCATATCGACATCACTCCTTCGTATATATACGCTTCCGCCATAGATGCCCGAGATAGTAATGAGGTCATTAGGCAATGGTACACGGCTTTATCGGGTTTCAGTCCCGCCATTTTCATCTCCTCGTAGCATCTCAATGCTTTTTCAGGGAGAGAAGCTCGTGCCCATCCCTGTATTAGGGTTGTGTATGTCTTGATGTTAGGTTCTACTCCGACAGCTTTCATGTCTTGGATTGTTTTCATTGCTCTCTGCAACAATGGCAGATGGGGGTGGATACCAGAGTAAGAAACTGACAAAAACATCGGGGAAGAAGCTCGGAAACCTGAAGAAAATAACCTCGAGAACTTACAGACATGTCGCCAGCCTTGCAACATGCGCTAATGAAGGAAGTGTAAGTACGAATATCGGGTTGAACCTCTTCTCTCTTCATCTGCTGCATCAAATCGGCCGCCTCCCAGACATCACCTCTTCTTGCCCATCTACACAGAGACAGGGAAGAATAAATACCCCGAAAAAGACAGTAACTTCAAATGCGTATAAATCAGATTTACCCGTCGATTAATATGTTATAGACGAAGGTATTGCGTGGAATATTCCGAGCGTTCATCTCCTTTGTGACGGCTAAGGCACTCTGCATCCGTCCCGACTTGCAGCAAGCCTTCAGCAATTCCGCGTATGTGAAAACATCAATCTCCAAACCGTCGTTTCGTAGTCTCGTGAAATACTCGAAAGCTTTTCCGGTATCACCAAGAGATGCGTAGCCTTGCATGATGTTTGTATAAGTGTGTTTGTTCGGACTTATACCTGCCAGTATCATCTCATCCAATACCTCGACCACCTTTTCCATCTACAAAATATCACAGACGAATGAGAAAAAAAAATACCCTATAATTTTTTTCTAAGCATAAAACGAGTCGCCTTGGCTCGGCCTGACCCGACCCGGATCATCATGATCTTAAAATTTTTGGGCTCAGCTCGACCATGCTCGTTTTTAAGCGAGCTAAAACGAATTGACTCGTGAACCAAATAAGAAAATGTAAAAATATTAAAACATAATAAAATATTACTTTTTTTTGCCTCGCGAACCCGTTTTTTAAACAAGCAAAAAAAAAAACCTAACTCGGTTCGCCTAAAAACGAGCCGGCTACGAGTCTTGCCTTGTTCTACACCCATATAATTTGTGATTCAGTATCGTATAAAATACCTGGCGTTTCTCAACCAGACCAACAATCAACGCGTTAAAGGTGTGAACGGTCGGGATGCATCCACACCGTCTCATCATATCGAAAACTTCGAGAGCTCTTCTCATTTCCCCGGCTTTTGCAAAACCAAGTATGATTGGCAAAAACGTTCGTGTGGTCGGTCTATGTCTCATCTTCTGCATTTCCTTGACAGTTTGAACTGCTCGGCCCGGGTTACCCATTCCGCAGAATGCCCCGATGATATTGTTGTACAGAACAACGTCCGGTTTTAGACCGTCTTTTATCATATCTTCGAAAACGGTGAAAGCATTGGCCCAATCTTTTAGCTTAACAAATCCATTTATCATCATGGAATAGGTCTTCAAGTTGTGGTTTATTCCAGATGACTTCATCGTTCTGCTAATCTCCAACGCTTTGGGAATCTTACCGACCTATAAGAAGAAGAAAATATTTAGGATGATAGAAAAAATATCACTGAATCGGTTCACATACAAAAATCAAGAATCATACCTTAATATAAAGATTAATGAGGCAGCCATAACTGATAACTGTTGGTGTAAATCCACATTCCTATATCGAAACAATTTCATGTCAACTTATATATAATCATGGTTCGTATATCTGAAGAGTAAGAACTCATCAAGAACTTGAACAGAGAGTACTACGCGGGGGAAAAAACCGAAGCAAAAAAAAAAGTTACTACCTTTAGTCTTTGGAAGACGATCAAGCATTTGTTCTCATCGGAAATCATCGTATATCCATCCATCATACTGTGGTAAATGTCGATTGGAGCATCGATTCCTTGTTCCTCCATCTCTCTTACCAATTCTTCCGCCCTCTCCATGTTGCATGCCTGACTGAGATTTAGTTCGTAACAAAATGGCCCGACGAATCTTAGTACAGTGAACCAAACATTTCATGAAACTATAGTAAAAATTTTTTTTAAGGCATTTACCAATGTGCATATATGATACTTCCATATATGCTGGCATTTAGTGTTTTGTTGTGCCGTTCTTTCGCCTCATCAAACCAGTGGTCTGCATCTCTTCCAGAGAAAATTGAAGATTAGATAGAACGAGTTTATACGATAAGCATTGAAAAGGGTGGCATGGATTTTTATAAATCGGACAGAACTCATTAAATTTTACTTACTCGGGTTTACCCACTTTGGCGAATCCTTTGACAAGAATGTTATAAGTCACCAAACTCATCTCGATTTCTTCTTCCTTCATTTTACGAACACAGGACAGTGCTTCTTCCATGTCTCTACCGACTGCATACGCGTGAATAAGGCTGCATGAACGAAATGAATCCCTTTCTTAACAAGCTAATCACAATCATAGCTACAAAATTATCCAGCCAATGACAGATTTAGACAAAGGAAACTATCCAGCTCTTATGCTAATTCAAGCGAATGACAGATCTTGGAAACAAAGATCAAGAAAATGGCAGATTGTATAACCAAAAGGGACAAAACCTTGTGTAGACATGTGATGTCGGCTCTATCCCTCTTGAACGCATCCTCTCGAAAGTTTCACGAGCTCGATGCATATCCCCTCTTCTTGCGTAAAACTTCACCATCAGACCAAACTCTTTTCTTGAAGGCTGAGGACCAAACACAGAGATTGTGTGAACAAGACAGGGCATTAAACTAAGCTAAGCTAAGTGATACAACAATGGCAGACCTTGTCGATCTTCTCGAAAGCTGACACAACAGCTTGCCAGTTGTCTGGATTTGTCTCTATGATCTTCTTGAATGTTCTTCGAGACCCTTCCCTCTCCTGATGCCAGCTTGACTTATGCGACATTTTCACGTCTTCCTCTCCGTCGACGTAGCCATTGACCCACCTCGCCCTCTCCTCGGTCTTCGTCTTCAACCTCTTCCCGTCATCTAACTTCACCGTCAACACCCTTCCGTGAAACTCCACGCCATCAAACTCCACTGCCTTCATCGCAGATTTCGCCGCCGTCTCTCCACCGTAGATTATGAACCCGAACCCGGCGTTCCTCTCGGTCTCGTGGTGCCTTTTGATGAGAATCGCGTTCTCTATCGGCCCGAACTGTCGGAAGAACTCCGCGAACTCGTGTTTCTTTATCCATGTCGGTAAGTTCCCGATAAATATCTTCCCTTCTTGTCGGAACTCCTGTTCCCGATCCCGGGTCTCGACTTCCATGGGTTTCGGATTCCTCGGAGGGTCATTTCGGAGTTGGGTTTCCTCCATCGGCGGTGGAGGAGGAGAGAGCTTGCTGGACAAACGGAGCTTGGAGGCGAGAGATAAGGAAGAAGAACCCTTACCGGCGGCACCAGTCCCGGCGACGGTCAAGCCGGTGGACCCCGGTTGAAACGGAGTAGGCACGACAGGGGAAGCGGTGAAATCTTTGAGGGGATTGAGAGAGATTTTAGGGGAAGGGGAGGAAGAGCTGAGGGATTTTTCCGGGCGGCGGAGATCGGAGGGTCGATTGGGTTCGGGCGGTTGCGGCGGCGTGGGAATAAGGGAGAAAGAGACGGAGGCGGAGTGACGGTGGTTGCGGCGGAGTATGGCGGCGGAGTAAGGGAAGTGCGGAGTGGAGAGAGACAATACGTTCCCACCATTATCCATTCCCTCTCTATCCCTTCAGTCTCTCTGTCACCGGACACACCACTCTCTTCCCCTTCCTTTGGGTTAAAAAAAAATAGATTACAAAAAAGATGGCCTGTAAAAGTGAAATTACCTAATTGACCTCGAGAATCCTATTTACGCCATGACAATAGGATCCGAAGGAAGGAATAAACCGAATAAAGTTCCAACCTTTACCAACCGGAGGATAGGGTCTTAACAGGGAAACTCGTAGCCAGAATGCCCATTTCAAACCAAAAACCAAGTCACGTAATGAGCAATTGTGAAAGTCCTGACTATTGTAACTCAAAATCTTGGTTCCAAATAGACAACATATCACCCAAAAAAATGAAAGCCACAACACAAACAGTTCCAACTTTCAGACATTAACCTTAAAAGCTAAAGTAACAATGTGTTCTTCCATGATGATGCTTGTCATCTTCAGAACCTTCTGCCTGGCCTGCCAAACATGTTGACTGGTGCCATAGCCTGTGGCTCAACTTCTGACAGACCAGGAAGATCAGACATTCCCAGAGAAGAAAGCATCTCTAGGGTTTCCTTGTCAACCTTGATCTCGTCGGTCTTAATGGCAGACTCGTCCGGGACAAAGTCCATGCGACGTTCACGCTCTTGACAGAGAACGAACACAAGTGCTCTTCCTCCTGCAGTTTCAGGGAGATTCCTCGGACCGGGCCCTTCTGGATACGTTTCATCAAGTGTGTGGAGAACCCGGCAATCTTGTTGCGAAGCCTCTTCGAGGGGATAATGGCAACTTCCTCGAGGATCTTCTTGTTGGTGTGGAAATCAAGGGTCATTCTCGAGTAATACTTCTCGATGACCTGACGAGAAGATTTCTTCACAGTCTTGGTACGAACACGACCCATGTTTCAGCTCCGACTTACCTGCCAAAAAAAGCAAACCAAGAGAATGTTGAAACCCAAAATTCTTATCTTGAGCAACTTTAGGTTTTGAATTCAGGGTACCAATCCGTTGTAACGAAAAAAACACTACATTGGATGGATAATATGACAGAAAAGAATAATCTCAAAGAGAACTCAAGCAAGGAAAAGAAAACGTATAAAAATCAAATCAAGGAATGAGGACAAATCGAGTGAGAATCATTAAGGCCAAGCAAGAACACTAACATAATCTCAGACTAAATTCAAGTAACTCCGTTTCTACTATCATTCAAGTCAGAATCCGAGCAATCGAGACGATAATTACACCACAGAAATACATTCTTCGAGATCTTCCATAGTTTCAAAACCAGCAAAGTAGATCATAACCTCGATATCAGTGCCCAGAAAACAACAAATCTCCATTACACATCCACAAACATAGACGAACAGCACGAAGAAAGTCCTCAGAACCGAGAAAACAGAGAAACCCTAGATCCACGATAACAATTCTACATCTTAAGAGACGGAATCAAGAGAGAGAGAGATAATCTAAACGTGCAAGCTTCGGATTTCCCTAAGGCTACTTCCATAGGTGATGCATTTTCTAGCTAAACAAACGCACCTGTATAGTCCGAGCCTGAAGCGGAGAAGCCTGCGAGAATGATGAAGCAGCGGCGGCGGCAAAACGATGAAACAAAGGAGAAAGCGTTTCTTTATAAAAATAAGGGCTCTCATCAGTTATTAGGGTTTTCCGTAAGGAGTTACTCTGCATTGGAGACTACCATAACCCAGTGCACCTTAGCCACTGATAACTTGCCACGTCACCTTTTTTTAAGGGTGTTCATCATTTACATTTGGCTTTTAAATTGATTAAGGTACAGACGCTGAAGAAACCATATTGAACCTAATGATTTGAATCTAAATCCATTCAAAACTAATTTAGTATAAAAATTAAATAAATTAAATTTTGTATATAATATCTAAACTCTAATTAAATGGAATATGGGCTTAGTAATCGGTCATTTGTTCGCTTTCGATGGGCTTGCCCAGTTCGTATTGAGCTTAATCCATTTAAAAAAAGCGGATGGGAACTCTCGATTGGTGCCACGTGACACTTCAATATAAAGCCACGTCACAGAGACGGCATCAGATTATGCTGACGTCATATCCTCTGGAAACAAGTGGCGTCTGCCACGTGGCGTTGAGAATCGGTCCACGCACTCCCATCAATATCCGGTTTCTTCCTTTTATTTTACTTTATTTTTTCTCCCTTTAACAATCCGGTTGAAGGTGAAGTATGAAAACGTAATTATTTTATTTTATTCTATATTAGTTGCTTAAACACATTATAAAATTAGATTAAACAAACCATTACATTCAGATTATATGGGATTCCTTCTTGGATGAGGATAGAGATTGATTTCAAATTTGACACTATAATCTTATATTATATAACAAACAAAACTAAATATTGAAATGTTGAAAATTAGTTTGACTAATAAATTGGTCAATATTTTCGGTGCACATTAATTAGATTATTCAAACTAAATCCAATACGACAGAATACATAAGATAATAGCTGCAATAACAAATTGTGTTAAATATTTCAAAAATCACAAACACTATTACAAAAGGATATAATATTTTATTTTAATTTAATTTTTGTAAATGTAATTTAAACCATGAAATTACACCGAATTCACCTCAACTTTTCTGCTCTAAATTAAAAAAAAAAAACTGTTGGTTTATAATAAATTATATTTAGTCTGTGCGATTATATTTGGACAATGAAATGGCAATTATGTAAATAAAGAAAACAAAACAGAGAAACCGTGTTGAACTTTGACTCTCTCTTAGCTGCTTCCTCCTCCATATCTCCCTATCCTCTCTGTCAGGTTTCAAGAACAAAAACGCAAACGAGAACGAAAACTCCCTATAAATTCCCCGCGAATGGATAAGTCCATAATCCTACGCAGTTTCCAAAAACCCTAGGAATCTTCCGATTCATTTTCTCGATTCATTTTCTT